TTAATTTCCCTCTGTCCAGATCACCCTCGTAGGTCAGGTATTTCTGAAACACGGCGGCACACAGTTTAGCCTTATCATATTCTGCTAATCCTGGCCTTTGGAGAATATCCCTCATTTCAGCATCCAATAAGCAGGTTGCCTCAGTTCTGATATTTTCCTGATGCGGTTGGAGAGCCCTTAATTGTTCCAGTTCATGTTTGGGCACCAGGTACATTTTTTCTGCGTGCTTCATCACTGGCTAGCCAAAAGCCCCGTAAATCAGAGGGAGAGCAAAACTTAACAAAGGACCAATAAATCCCCTGACTGTTTCACCAGCTGTTTCTTTTTTTTAAGAGACAATCTTTTGTTACTTAGGTTTTTTATGATCCCGCATCTCTTTTTCAGCATGCCAATTTGATGCGGTGTCAAAGGGATGTTTTCCTTTTAAGGTGTTCAGAGAAATTTCTGAAATGGCCGCTACTAAATCGTCAGAGGCCGAGCAGAGTATAGCTTTTCTCTGCTGTGGGGAGGATTGAAGAAGCAGTTTTAAGAAAGCCAAATTTCTTTTTACACAGTTAGACATGTTCCCCTTCCACCATCCCGAAAGCTAAGAGGAGGCTGCCGCTACATCATCTCTTTTTATTCCCACCCACTGTTTGTTTGTTTTTTTAAGTGTAAGCAGCTGGTTGGTTGGGAGGAAAAAGCCCAGTTTTAAATCTAAAAGCGTCGGGGTAGAAGCATTTAAATCAACCACCAGATACCCGTAAAGTGTTTTAGTGGCATCTTCAAAAGCTTCTAGAAAGAACTGGGCCTTAACCGGGTATATCTGCCGTGCCAGGAACGCTATCTGTAGCTTATCCCTGGGGTTTTTAAACAAAACCATGTATTCTGTGTTAAGGCTAACGGTGTGGCTCCTTTTCCCTTGGCAGAAAACATTTTGAACTATATACATAATGCTAAGATTCTGCTGATGCACGTACTTGGTAAAGGAGTTCTCGATTTCGCCGCTGTCACAAGCAGAGTCCATCAAATCATCTACCACAACCATATTTATTAGGAGGAAACAAGCAGTTGTCACTGACTGTCCGGTAGACCCTCCACAAACTTGATAAAAGGATATTTACAAAGCAGTTCTTTATACAAAGGCTGCCAACAGCTATAGCACCATACGATATTCTCAGGCATAACAGACAGCATTCTATCAGCGCGATCCTGGTTTTCTATAAACTTTTACCACAGTTCTTAGGGCCTGCCAAAATCACAGAAAAGGGGTGCTTTCATCACATATCCATCTTTAAAAACCATAGGGAAGACTGTTAAAGTTTTCTGTGAGGACCCTTTTGTCACAAACGACTTTCTGTGTTTTTCTGAAGGCTTTGGTTTCTATCATCCACTTGCTTTTGTTCCTGATGAAAGAATTCTATAAACTTTTACCACAGTTCTTAGGGCCTGCCAAAATCACAGAAAAGGGGTGCTTTCATCACATATCCATCTTTAAAAACCATAGGGAAGACTGTTAAAGTTTTCTGTGAGGACCCTTTTGTCACAAACGACTTTCTGTGTTTTTCTGAAGGCTTTGGTTTCTATCATCCACTTGCTTTTGTTCCTGATGAAAGAACGCTGTTGTATCATGATTGTTTTAGGGGTGTCCCCAGCAAGGTTTGCCCCATAATCTAGAACAAGATCTCTCAAGGTTTCAAAGATGACTTTTTTACTGTTGGCCACATTCAGGGTAATCCCTTTGACCTTCAAGCGAACCTTTCCCCTGGACAACTTGTACCCGTAGGTTTTCGGACCAGCCGACACAAACTCTGTGATGTGTTCATGTCATGGGATTTTGCTGGTGAGCTCAGCTAAATAATCGCCTAGAGGGGGGTTCCAATCTCCCTCACGGCTCACAAATATCACAGAATCTGTCACGGTACAGACACCGGTCTTACAAGCTAACAGCTCGTACAACTCTAAGCATGCATAAGCGGTGGTGAAACAGCCTATAAAGATGTTTGTGTTACCCGATAGCGTGTTACGCTCTTTGGCATGCTTCCATGACACGCAGGCTGCCTCATCATCAATTAAGTTGCAAGATGAAATTTCATAGGCGGGAGAAAGAGGTAGCCAAAAAGTTCTTCAGGGTCTCTAACGATGCTGATGTTGAGCAAGTTGGTTCTCTGACCGAATTTACCCTGCAAAGAATTTAAAAACAATTTTGCTATTTGGCGCTTTGCGGGGTTGGATTTGATATGCTCTGTGCATAAGGCCACGGCTTCTTTTTGCAAGAAATTGGCCATGTATCTCTCTTGTTTTTCTTGGTCGGTACACCAGGCGGAGTAGCCCAAGGCTTCCTGCTTCTGTCGGGGCTTTTGGTAGTGATCGTTACTGTGATAAGGGATGTTGAGATGGCTGGAAAAACCCCCTTGCCTGCTCGCTTGAGACAGGAGAAAACCAGCAGGTTAGAGAGGTGAGTAATGAAGAAGAGGAAATGTCCCTGGGAAAGGGGGTGCTTCAAGGGTGAGACTTCCCTGACTGAGGTAGGTCTGAGCTCTGAACAATATTAAACAACCAATAAGCCACATGGTAGTGCAAAGGATGTGGCTGCTGCATGGGCGTTATTTTGTGCATGTTTGGAATGGCTGAAATGTTAAAGGGGAGGCAGGAACTAGAGCTTGAGAAAGAGCAGTTACAACAGCATTTGAAACAATGAGAGACAGAGGATTGTGAATTTACAGCAGAAAAGCTTAAAATGGTGACTTTACACTTCATTACCTTGCACTTTTGTACTATTCAATTTCCCTTTCCCAATCACGCCAGTCCTTCAGCAAAGCTCATTTTATTCTTCCCGTATGATATTCTGATCCTTCTGTGTTGATACCTAACTCTACAATCAACCAATCCCATCAGTATTCACTCTTCTTTTGTGTTAAAGTCATTAAAACATTTAAGAAGATTGTGCTGAGATCAGTACTCAACGAACTCCAATACTAGCTTCCCTCCAACCTTAATAGCTTCTTTTTTGCAGAAACATTGTTCCCCCTACTTTTAGTCAGTTGTTTTCCCCACATCACAATTCTTGGATAAGCCTCTACTCATCTTCAGCTTTATTAATAATTTCTGATACATGCACATTGAACAATATTAAATCCATACAAATTAGATTTGCCATTTTTCCCTTTTTAAAATTATTGGCAAGGCACAATCTTCTTGAAAGTATAGTGTAAAACCCTCAAACTAGCCATATGTGACTTTCAGAACAAATGGGCAAAGTCAATCATGCAACACCAAATACTGTTCTACACTGTCTCTGAAAAGCTCACCTATATTTTGCTTGGAGCTTAAGCAAAAAGAAATAAGTAATTGAATAACCTAGTTAAAGTGAAGAAATAAAGGAAAAAAATACAGCAGAGATGGTCTAACCTGGGTAGTTTACTGGAAGGTGATGTGTAGTCAAAAGTTAAAGTATATATGTTGAATAATCTTTTGCCCCTTTCCCAGTGTGGGGAAGCATAATCTGAAAGACTTTAGTATGTCAATACTGAAATGAAACAAAAAAATCCTATAGCACTGGACATAAAGAATTGTGATATTGATTTCTAAGGAAATCTGTTTAAACAAGAACCTTCTTTTCTTTTACACCAACTTACTTGTGGCTCCACTTAAAAAACTTGAATTACCAGTATTTTGAAATGTGTTCCCTCTCTAAACCATGCATATTACATTGTAAATGTTCTTTCTTATTCAATATTTCTACTTTGTGATTTTAAAAAGACACAGCAGCCACTCTTTTAATTTCTAACATTAAAATAAATTAGTAAATTTAGTATTGGAGAAAAGTGCTTAACTTTTAGCACAGAATACATTCCTCAAGCAGGCATACAGTTCAGCTGTGCTACCTTTCTCTTCAGTATACCTCAATAACTATTTAATCAAGGGAACCCAATTTCTAGGAGTAGTTTGGATGACAAAGATATGTATCCCGTATAGTTACTGGGCTTGACTACCAATTGTACTCAAGGGACTACATTTTTAGCTTGCTACTACCTTTCACTGGATTTCAGCTATTGTAAAAAGCCTGGATCACATATTTCCAAACATATGCCTTTTGCTGTTCAAATAAAAGAACTCTAAGCAATCAACCTAAATAAAATGATCATTTAAAAATTACGTAGTTTTATCTGTAACACTGAAGTGTCAGCAAGTCTCCACTTCCCATTTATGACCTAATCAGGAAACCATATTTGGGATGGGGTTTTTTTGTAAAAAAAATTCTAATGTTGAGGAAAACAATGGTCTAAGATGCTCTGATCTGACCTAATGCACACAAGCTGATTTACTATCCTTTGAGACTTCAGATACAAGTGTCTGAAGTTCACAACTCTTTGTGATTTCTTAGTTGGTCTAATAAAAGGCATCATCTCTGAACCGAGACATGTGGAGTTTTGTATTTCTGAGGATCATGAATGTATTTGCCTTTCCATGTAGGAGTAATTTTACAATCTTTGCACTCCCCTATGCATGAAGAAGGGTGTGTTCGCCCAAAAGCTTGCAAATAAAGAAGTTGTTTTGCAAATATCTAGTTGGTCTAACAAAAGGCATCACCTCCCCAAAACTTCTGAGGATCAGGAATTAGTTTTACTTATTTCAAAAAGGTTTGGCCCACTTCTACTCCCCCTTTGCAGAGAAAGGTAAGATCTGTAACAACAGGGTAAAAGTTCGTCACTAAGCATGTTCAGGTCTGCAGTGAATTAAGCTTTCCCCAATTTGCCTGAAAGCCACTTATCAAAAGAAGCAGAGAAGGTACCAGCCTCCCTACGTGCAGCCTAATTCCCAAGTCCCGTATGTCTCTAGTCCTACCGCGAGGACCCCGCGCGACACGCTTTGACTAAAAGCTCCCACAACACGGGCACAAGTGCTGCAACAACGCCCCTCCGCGCGCGGGTGCGCGCAAGCTTTACAGCCTCTGTGGCGCATGTGCACTCTATCAACTACACGCGACACGCAGCCAAGTATGGTCTCTCTGGCGCATGCGCAGCGCTGCTGTCGCTCCCACTTCCGGCCTCTCCCTGCTGTTTCCGGGTCGCAAGCCCGGTGGACTCACGGAGCTGTTAGAGCAGCTGCTGGTTCGGTCCCGGTTGCTGGAGTGGAAGCGGCACGGGTTGCGCCTGGTTGTGACTCCGGCTCCTGTTTCTGGCTCCTCATCGGCCCCGGGGGCGTTGCTGGATCTGCAGGAGGTGGGGCCGGGGCCGGGGCCGGGCTTCCTCAGGGCGTCCCTCGGCCGCGCTGAGCGTGTTGCTGCCGGTGCCGAGTCTGGAGCCCTTGACCCACCTACCCTGCTGTCCCCGGGCACCTGTGGGCCGGGAGCTTCCAGCCCGGGGTGGGAGAGGCGGTTGAGCCCCGGGGCTGCAGACAGCGGAGCCCGGGTCCGAGCTGCCCTCAGTAGCTGGAAAAGGGCTTTGAGAGGCCCGTCGCTTAGCCGTGGCTCGTGACCGGTAGATGTACTGCTGTCCCTGGGGTGGGTATGCCCAGCCTGCGGTACAAGCACGGCATGGCGGGTGGTTTCGAATAGCCCTGCCTGTGGCATATGGGGTGGGGGAGGAGACTGGGAGCAGCAGCAGATAGGGTGGGAGACTGGAGCAACCCCTGGTAAGGCACTCCTCTTCACTTGTGGCACCTGCCACAAAGGTGTGGGCTCCTATTGCTGTGAAAGCGACTGCAGTGCTCGCTGAGACTGGAGACTGCCGGTAAGGTAGGGAAAACCTGGGGCAGGGGGAGCATTGTATTGTATTTCTGTCAGTGACATGATGCAATAGGAGAAAATTGTGTAGAACTGGAGTGTGGCTGCCTGATCGGCTGCAGCGCATCCGCCTGCTCCTGCTGCTGCTTCTTGGGATGTAATAAGGTTGGCTGAAGAGGCAATACCTGGTTTGCTAAAGCACTGTGGGATTGCTGGGGCTATAGGATGATTTTTTTAAAGGGAAATTAGTATCACACTTTTGGATTTGGACCTATTTTATATGATGCCTTTCTGTAGCTTCATCACTTGCAACCTGCCTGGGAAGTGAATGAAAAAATTGGGTAATAAGGGGTATAAGCTGCTTTAGTAACAAGCTCTTCATTACCTGTTAAAAGGAACAGGTGCTTGCCTTAAAAAGTATGAGGTGCAGTCACATCATGTTGGCTACTTTAAAACTGACCACTTAAATCAGCCAAGAATATCAGTGTCTGCCAGTCATGGGTTGAAACTGGCTTGTGTGAAGCCAGGACATGCTTTATGTACTTGTCAACCAAAAAAAAAAAACTCTAAAGCAGAAGAAAATGTGGCATAGCCATGGCCTGGAAGTCGCATCCTTTTCATAGAATAAAACAGTTTATATCTTCAGACTTTATACTCTTGGACTTTAAGTACACAGGTATAATTACTCTTTCCTTTTCTCTAGATTTTGACTTCTAACACACAAACATAGCTTTTGCACTTAAATTAACTTGTGGGTTTTTCATGTCATTTGAAGAATAAATCTTTAACTGCCCCCACAAATAATGGTTGGTGTTCAAGCCTGAACTGCAGTGGTATTAAAAAAGCTGAGATGTTAAGAGCTAGCTATAACTGGAAAACTGCTGTGCTATGATCCACTAAAAAATTGAATACTCCAGTAAACCGCATGGCAGGCGGCTTCGACTAGCCCTGCCTGTGGCATTTTGGGGGTGGAGGAGACTGGGAGCGGCAGCAGATAGGATGGGAAACTGGAGCAACCCCTGGTAAGGCACTCCTCTTCACTTGTGGCACCTGCCACAAAGGTGGTCTTTCCCTGTAATGAGGAGCGGAGGTTTAACTGCTTTTTTTGCTTAAGAATTGACAGAGAAAACAGTAATACAGGGGTGTGTTTTGCCTTCTCTTTGTAACTGAAATTCACCCAGCTTCAACCTGTTATGGAAAAGGATGTTCTTGACAATTTTTTTTTTTTTAAACAAAAACTGCTTATCAAAGGAAGCTATTTCCTCAGAGGAGGGTAACTGCTAGTTGTTCACTAGATAACTGCTAGACAAAGTACCAAGACTGCACCAACTTCTCTGGAGGGATGTATATTAAAGCTGCAATCCTGCAAACACTTAAGAACTATCTCATTGGGTCCCACCAAGTTTCGTGGAAGCGTTCATAAAACTATTTGGTATTAAATGGGGCAGACATTTAAGCTTCCCAAACTGTTTAGGCTTTAGAGCTCTGGGTTTCAAAAGTGTATTTATGTTGTTGTGATCTTTCCAGTTTTGGTCTGTGAAGAAGGCATTTTAATTAACACATTTTAAAAATAGCTAACATTTTAAGAATTTCTTTTCTAGGCTTTCTTACCCTTTGAAGTGGTCCAGAATGTTGAAATTGGTTGAATTGGCCTAGTTAAGACTGCTTACTTGCTTTATTCTTGCGTTGAGACAATAATATGCTTTTTGTAGTCTCAGTGTTACGTTGTAAGTGTAAATTTGGGGAAGGGGTGTTTTTTTAAGGTCTTGGACCATCTAAGAAGAAAATAAACTAATTCAATTCCAGTTTGTATATCTATTATGTGATGCTGACTGCTTCTCACATATTTCACAGATTTAATCCTAACTTCCCCTGTTAGCTGCTCGCCACCAGAATGAGACTTGTAATTCTTGAAGATTATGACCAGGCTAGTGAATGGGCTGCAAAATACATTTGTAACCGTATTATCCAGTTCAAGCCAAGTGAAGGAAAATATTTTACGCTTGGTCTACCAACAGGTAAAATGCTCATAATTGAGAGCAAACAGATGCATTTCTTCTGTGCTTAGTCAGTAGCAATCCTTTGCTTGATTGTATAATCAAATGTTATGCAGTACAGAACACAGATAGTCCCCAAAATTAGGTTCCTCAGATTTATGTGCATATAGCTGTAGTAATGACTGTGCAGAGCCTCTGAGGTGCTCTGGTGGCGTGCACCTTTTATTTTAGAAAGGTGCTGTATCTTCAGTCATCTTTACAGGATTGCTGATATGCTCCAGGTGATGCAGGGGTGGCTTAGCTCAGTTGGCTAGAGCACAATGCTAATAGTGCCAAGGCTGCAGATTTGATCCTGGTTGGATTAGATGATCTTTTGGGGTCCCTTCTCACCGTACTTCTCTATGAAAGAGATGTGCCTTTTGAAGTGAATGCTGCAGCAAACAGCTGAGCATCTTGTTCTTAATTGGCAACCTGTTGAAAATCACCTGGATACCAAAATCTTGGTGGTTCTACTGTATTCTTTTAAATACTTCATAGGGACGTGTTGTTGAAGCTTGACAACTTGCTAGTCAGTAGGAGTTTTTCAGAATCCTCTTGAAATGTAATAGGTTCTTGAGCCTGTTATAGTAACAGAAGCCAACTTTAGAAGACTTTATAATTTTCCATATGCATCTAAAAATGTGACTCACTGGCATATGAAGCAAAAGAATAACAAAATTATTTAATATAGGGAGTACACCACTGGGATGCTACAAAAAGCTGATAGAATATCACAAGAACGGAGATCTCTCCTTCAAATATGTAAAGACTTTCAACATGGATGAATATGTCGGTAAGCTCTGAAGTTGCAAATATTGAGAGGCTCAGTTTATAGTTTAAATGCTGGAGAAAAGATATACTATTTTGTGGTTAAAGCACAAAACTGAGACTTGAGAAGCACATATGTCATGGCTTTGTTTTTTGTTTGTTTTTTTTTTAACTCCCAAGTCAGCTTCTAATTTTCCTCTGCAAAAAAAAAAGAAAAAAAATGTGCAACTGAAGTGGCTGGTAAGGCTAAATTTTCACTCTGTAAGGTGACTAAAATCCTTACAGAAAGCACTGCAGAACAAAGTATTGGGCCTGATTTCCTCCAAGGTCCTGTACAAAACTTAAATATAATGCTATCCACTCTCTGGAATGACTCTATCACATCCACGGCAGTTAAGAGATGTGTCTCTTTTTATAGGAGGATCATTTAAAACTCTTTATTTCATTTGTGTGTTCTGGTGAGACAGATTTTTGAGACATGGTGCATTTCTAATATAAGTACTGTATGTGTAAATCCAAGCATAACTTTGGTTGGTTCAGTTAGCTCATAGTAATGTGAATTTCACTTTAAACCATTTCAGGGCTTCCCAGAAATCATCCTGAGAGTTACCACTCCTATATGTGGAATAATTTCTTTAAGCATATTGATATAGACCCTAATAACGCTCATATCCTGGATGGGAATGCTCTGGACTTGCAAGCAGAGTGTGATGCATTTGAAAAGAAAATTGAAGAGGCTGGGGGAATCGAACTGTTTGTTGGAGGTATGGGGAAATGCTCTAGCAGTGATCAGTTGTGGCTAATAAGTGGACTGAATCGGGACTTTCAGAACTTTTATCTAAGAACTTTTACTTTGAAGCACAGATTTAAGAGACTTTCATTACTGATATCAAGAATCAGTTTGAATGTAAAGATACAGAGAGTCCAATTTGTGGTAACTAACAAGTGTATAAATAACCTTTAGTTCCAACTGGGGGGGGGGAAATAAGATAGGATTATGAAGAATGGTGGGGCAGCGCAGTGCAGACAGTTCATTGTTTTTGAGACTATTTTAAAGATTAGAAATGATTGATTCTTTTCTGCTTTGTAAAGGCATTGGTCCAGATGGTCACATTGCTTTCAATGAACCAGGATCAAGTCTGTCTTCGAGAACAAGGTTAAAAACTTTAGCGATGGACACCATTTTGGCAAATGCTAAGTATTTTGATGGAGATTTATCTAAAGTACCAACTATGGCATTAACAGTCGGTGTGGGTACAGTGATGGATGCTAGAGAAGTAAGAGTTTTTTAATTCTAACTACCGCTTTTTTATTTGCATGTATTTATATTCAGGACACTACTATCAAAATTGTCTTTGAAATTTAAGATAAACTAAGAACTGTTTGCTTTTCAGGTAATGATTCTCATAACAGGTGCACACAAAGCTTTTGCCTTGTATAAGGCAATTGAAGAAGGGGTCAATCATATGTGGACAGTTTCTGCTTTCCAGCAGCACCCTCGCACTATCTTTGTATGTGATGAAGATGCTACTTTAGAACTAAGAGTTAAAACCGTGAAATATTTTAAAGGTGAGCACTGAATCAAAATAGAATAGTTGCCTTTGTTTGAATACTCAGTTTAAAAATTAAGTGGTTAAATCCTGGCCCTTCAGTGTAGCATGTATATTAAAGGAAAAATGGCTACAGTATTTGAAATATGAAAGATTGAGCTTTGTAATTTGAATATAATACAGTGTTTTAAAAAACTTAGCTGTGTTTCTTTCATGCAAAAAGAACAGTACAGAATCTGTGATGTTCAAATAAAATTTGTCAGGGAAGAGACATGGTCTCTCCCTCTTTTTTTTAAGTTTGTACTGTTAGCCATATGCCCCTTCACTGTACTTTAAAAACACTGGAAAGTGAAATTCAGGTTTTTATTGATAAACTTGATATAAGACAGACTTATCCCAAATGACTTTAAGCTGTTAACGTTTTTGCTGTAGTCTATAGTGTTTCTCCATCTTGCTTATTTGTCTTATCTGCTTATTATAGTGCTTAATAAGCTAGAATTTTGGGCCCCAGAAGCTCAATGTGTGACAGAGGTTGGAATGACTAAAGGACAGCTTGCCTAATCAGGCATTTGTATAACTGAATATCCACTATTTCATAAATTGTCTTATCCAAGACGTACACGGTTTTACATGCTGCATTTTGATTTAATTATTTCAGTGAAAGTTGCTTTACTGATATTTTATATATTGATCCTTAACTTCTAATTGAATGGCTTTTTAATGTTATGGTGAAAGTTGCTACTTGACAAACTTGTTTCATTGTGATCTGTAGCAGATAAACCTGATGAGGTCAGGGAGACTGAGGCTGGGAAAATAATGTAGTTAGAAACTAAAGTTCTAGGGATTTGGGGAACGGAGGGTGGGACTTGGTTTTGTTTTAATCACAATATTATTTTATTTGTCCAGGGTCTGCTTGTTACTGAGAGTTAGGCTGGTGGCTTTCTGTCTTTTTAAAATTGCTTCCCTATCCAAATCAATCTCTGGACCCTACCAATTTAAAAGCAAACCAATATTTGGTGCTGACAACCCCTGGCTTGATTATTTTTCCCTTGCCTACTGTCACTCACTCTCAGATTTATACATGGGTATCTCATTGCTCTGTTCTGTCTCTCTTTATTATGGTTTTGTGTTTTAAAAAAATCTCTATCTACTGATCTGTCTTAATAGCCGAATTACTCTTATTGTGACCGTTTAATCTAAATTTGCCAGAATTACTTCATGAATTGAATACTTTTCTCTCCTTCCACTATGCAAAATGTTATGAAGGTTCTTGAATAATGGATTTGTCACCTAACAGACATACTGATATATAACTAGTAGACTTGTGACGCTGATATGACCACTGCTTTGAAGAAGCAAAGGGCTATATGGAAAATTTATTTTGTACCCTTTCATAAATTGAATAGGATACTACTACTACTAGAATTTTTACTATTGACTGATTTGTAAAATAAGGTTGTGTAAAGTTTTAAATGGGGCCACAGTAGAATGACAGTAGCAGCCTTAGTCATTGTTTTGGATCCTATACGCCAACTGCAAACTCTTTTCAGTACCTAAATGACTTCAAAATGAAATACCCATTTTTCACTATTTCAAAACTTGGTTACTGTATTCTTGAAATAACCAGCAATAAAAGGAAAATATCAGGAGGCATGAACTGGGGAGAATCTTTGGCCCGCAGTGCTCATAGTAAACATGAATAGGGAAATCCCTAAAATCTGTTTGACATTTAAGTCTAGGTACAGCCATTCAAAAAGCCCAAAATGGAATTGATCTAATTTTTCTAGGCTTGTCTACACATTTAATTAATATGCTTTAGGTTATGCATGTTAAAATCCATTACCTCCAGTGTAAGGTACTAGAAAAATGCGCATTAGCCTATTTTAATATGCATTAGCTAAAGCATGTTTTTTTGTGATGATTACATATGCATTAAAATGTGCACTTTAATGTACGTTAGCCTATGTAGATGTGCCCACTGTAAGCACCATAGCTCAGATCAGTACCAAACAGAACACACATTTGCCCTTTGGGGAGAGGTGAGAGGGAAAATCTTCGACCAAATTCTGCCACTTTTAAACCAGTGTTTGTGTGTCAAACTCTTGTTCTGCTAAGGATATAGACCAGTTACCAATCACTTATACTGGTAAAAGTGTAATGCCTGGCCTATGATGGCAGATATAAACTAGAAAAAACCCAAGGTGCTGGTGCTGCATAAAGTGGCTTTTCACATGATTGCTTAAACTTATCATTAAAACTGCATAGGGAACCAACTAAAAGAAATGCAGTTACTACAGCAACATGCAAGTTAGCCTCAATATGTGCGTATATTATGTTTTATATTTACAGACTCTTTAACATAATAACAGACACAGAATGTGCCATGTTACTGAACCAAGGTCAAGGGCCCTAACTTTAATTTCCTTACTGTTCAGTTGAAAACACTAATATGAATTCCTTATGCATGTGTAACTTTGATGGAAATAGATGAGTTGTATTGTAATAAGGTAATTCTAAACCAGGACAGCTAAAAAATAACGCATACAACAAACATTAGCCAATGCTGTGGTTCACCTCCTCTGGTACAAGGTAGAATAGTCTTTAATGGTTGTTAACTTTAATAAAAAGCAGTTGAAATTGTGTTGAGGTCAGAGTTTGGTATTGATGTTGGCAAGCCTGGAAACTTAAGCTGCCATGACAGATGCTGAAAAAATAAGTTATACTCTGAAACACCCCACAATTGGGTAACCTCCCAGCATCTCTAGCTTGTGAATGTCTGTTGAAGAGATCTAAGGTATAAAACTGAGACACCAGTGCCCAAAGTGTTGAATCTATATGGGGGTTTTTGATCTTTCTAATAACTTTGAGCTTTTTGTTCTGCAAGCCTCAGTGCATGGGAAGCTTATTAATAGACATCTTCACAAATAGTAATTAGGGCTGCGTGAAGCTTTGGTCCCCGATTCGATTCGGTGCCCAAATCCCTGAATCGGATAGAATCAGGAAGCCCTTTTAATCTCTCCAAATTTAATCAAAACCCTCTGAATCGATTCAGAAAGATTTGGCAACTCGGATACAGACACAGCTTTTAAATGTTGTCTCCATACCTCAGGGTACCAGGTGATTTGTGAATGCTGTGATGGTAAGGTGGGGATGAAGCATCCCACAGGAACGCAGGGGGCTCCTCAGCGTGCTCAGCAGCAGACCTGAAAGTGAACCAGAAGCGCTTCCAGGTTTGCTGCCGAGCATGCCTTTCCCCCGCATTGTAGTATTCACGAGCCATGCCTGGTACCTCAAGGTATGTTGAAAAAATATTTAAAGCTTTGTCTATGACTGAATCACTGATTTGTATCTAATACAGGCCATTTCACATGCCCCTAATAGTAATCTTTCATGTCACGATCCAGGCCATTTTGGAGCATCATCAAACTAGTATATGATGCAATTCCAGGTGGTCATAACCCATGGAATAAAGAATTGTGTAGCACATATATTGCAATCAGTTTAGCTTCTGTCCCAAAAGAGGAACCAATGCATCTGTGTACTCCAAAATCCAATTGAAATTGGAGGCTAAAAACTGATTGGCAGTAACAGTCAATTGTTGGATACAGCTGAAATGTTGAATTTCCTAGTGGTGTCCTGAGTTAGCTTATTCCAAAAATACATAGTCTGGATATATCACTGTGGGACATTTAGGAACTTGCACTGCCCTTGCTGCTTAATCTGTGTACTTTTAGTAACTGCCTGCATAAAATTTGGTTTTTCTAAAAGTGCTTTTGAGTGGTCATTCTGCTTTCTCTGCTAATTCAGTGGACTGTTAAAAATGTATTTATTTGTAGTAAATAAACATAGATAATGTGTGCTGACTTTTACATTTAGCTGCTTTTTCCCCCCCTAAGGTTTAATGCATGTGCACAATAAACTTGTGGATCCATTATACAGTATGAAAGAGAACTGAAGGAAGAATTGAGGAGGAACTTCACATGGGTGAACACAGCAACTACTTTTAGGTAGCAGAAGAATTTACTGCTATGCAATATGCTGACAACTGGCTAAATTGGGGAATATTAGGTACTGTAATTTTTTTTTAAGGTCCAATATTTATACAGTCACATTCCATATCTATATGATGATGTGTTTGTACATTTTGCTATAACTTTTTGTTATCTTGAGTTTAGCAAATAAAAATGGAAGTTGCTTGTTATGAGAAATGGCAAACAACAGAGTACTCTATATAGCACAGCAATGTAATGTGTTGGAGTAAATGGAATCTTGGTTCAAGCATTGTAATCCTAGTTCCAATAGTGCAAAACTACACTCCTCATTCTAGTTTTTAGAGGCAAAACAGGTTGGTTTTTTTTTTGGCCTCTCCATTGTCAACTGGTATGGACTTGTAAATTGCACACTTTTTTTACTATGAAATGCTGTTTACATATCTCAAATGCACACTGAGCTTTTGCACTTGGTTGCCTTAAATTTATCTTACGAGCTGTCCAAGAGCAATTAGAGTAAGTACTAGTGCACAAAATTCAGGCAAATAAAAAAAACAAAACAAACAAACATGGAAATGGTGCCTAAAAATGCAGCTGCCCCCTTCAAAAAGTTTATTTTACAATTTTGTACATATCAGATTTCTGCCATAGCACTTTTCTTTGTTACATGTTACAAATTAATTTAGCATTTTTATATGGTTAGTAATTATGAGCTTTGTAAATGAGGAAAAATGTTAAGTGTTTCTTTTTTTTTAAGACAAGAATTTAGTTGCTTCAGTGATGTGATAATATAACCTCTTTGCAATTATTTAATGTAATAGTCTACAAAAGAGACTTGTTTTAATACAATGACATCTGTTACTGAACCACTTTTGCAGTAGGATAGCTATTTTGCATTGTATTGTTATAATTGTTGAACACTCTACATTCTTGCTCCAAGTAAAGCTTACGTACACAAACCAAAAATGTCTAAACTTTTATTTTGTTGAATGTAAAGGGGGACTAAAGAGCAGACTAGTTTTCAGTGAGTTGTAGTGAAAGGATACTGTTGTTCTCTAGCTAAGAGGGCAGTTAATCTCATCCCAGGCCAGCTTCTCAAAAACATAGTATAAAAATATCTGTGGGGGCCAGCCTTTTTGCTGGACATACCACATACTAGCCCCACACTCTTCCTGGAAAGTGCCACTTCAGTCCCTTTCCCTTACCCAACCTGCTCAGCTTTCTGCTTCCTGCCTTGTGCTCCATAGCTAATCTGATCCTCTGCTCCATGTATTATCTGCCATTGGGTGGATCTATGCAAGATGTTTACTGCACAGTTGACCAATTTAATTGCATAGTAGACTTCTCAAGGTCAACTCATGTGCCCTTATTAGGGTACATGAAAGTAATAAACTCTGCAGCTTGTACATGCAAGTACTATCCTGCTGCAGAGTTCTTGTCAGTATCTACATGCAGCAGCGCACACATCAACTGGCTGAGGCAGGAGGGTGCTTCAGTCCACAGGCTGCCAGCCAGCTAGGCCCATACTTAAGCACCCTCATGCTCCAAGTACCTCCTTTACAGCAGGTTGAGCATGGTCAGAGCAGTCCCTGGGCTCCCTCAATGTGTTGCAGTCTAGATGCACATGTAAACCACATGCCAAGGAGCAATAAACTGCAGAGCAATAAGCTCTGTAGTCTTATTGCTGCCCCCAATGGCATGTGTAGATGCACCCACTGTGTACCTGTCCCCACACAAACCTGCTGTATGTTACACACAAACTTTAAAAGTAAAGTATTCAGTGTTCTTTTTGTGTTCCTTTCATGCTTTATAAAACATTTGCTTGTGAAAATTACATTCTTGAAAGCTAAATTGAAAGCATTTCTTAACTACAAACATGTCATACACAGGTACGTTTATTACTGAATAGTCCTTTAGCAGGAAGCTGCCACTAAGTACAAGTAGGGAAACACAGTAAGTCTTACTAGTGTCAAAAAATCAAATGAAATGTCACCAGCCTCAAATACAAAGTTAAATTCCCTCAAGCCTGAAGCCAAACTTGCAATAAATGTATTCTGAAACTAGTAATAACATAGAAAAATAAGCAAGCTGTAACAAATGGCTATGCAGCAGGTAGGAACACTATATAATCCTTATAATTCATTTCCACATACTCCTTACAGGGTGTGTCTACACAAAGCACTTCATGTGTAGTAGCCTAATAATACTTTGCAGTAGCATGCCAGGCAAAAACCATGTTAATATGCTACTTTACAGTAAATGTCACTAAAAAATCATGTGCCAGCACTACTGAACAGTAACTCTATAGTTACTGTGCATTTTCTTAGTCCTTCATTAAGCAAGTCCTAAATTAGATGCACAGTAACTACTGTGCATTAATAAACATGTAGATGTACCCACAGAGACTTAGTGGGACCCTTCTAGAACTTTTTTTAGTTAAAATTTTTCAGGAGGGAAATAAAGACTAGCTTCTGCATTTCTTGCAGGAATAGCTATTTTCACAGGGCAAAGATTTATAGAGGGCCACTCTGTCCCTTTTTTAATCCCACATTCAATCTTATTTGTCCTCTGCATGAACTTGCCTTTGTACCTTGTTCTAAGTAACATCAATTACTAGAAACCTTCTGTCTCAAAAAAGGAAGCATCTGTTTAGTGCTTAGACCATAGCTGGATTATGTTATAGAATAAGCGCACTTCATTCACTAAGACAGTTGTTTTAATAGCTTTGATAAGGTCCAACTCCATCCAACCTCTTGGCAGTTCTCATCTTTCTTCTTACATTACCTGTGTCTGAAATCTTCTTCCGGTTCAGTGATGATCTGGGATATGTACAAATGTTACATTTATATTGACCTAAACAAAGTTAGATGGACTTCAATGCCTGGTCCTGCAGCCATTAACAGGGCTTTAAATTGCCCCAAAAAGTGTGTCTGATCTAAATTAGTTCGCTTCCAGGAGGTTATCCTTAAAAGTTAATTCACCTGCTCTCCAAAGGGTTAACCTGATCTAGCAAATGCCTGTGTTCACAATACAGCCCTTGGGCTGGGAAAGCCCAACCCCTCGCCACCCCTGGGCCTGTACTACTCCTGCCCACTAACCCTAACCAGGCTATTTTTAATCTTCCTGGATCAAGTAGTTGGCCCATCCCCAGTTTCTTACTTACATTTAATCTGGGTAAAAACATTTGTACATGCATTTCTTCATCAAAGGTAAGCTTCTCTTCAGAAATACCAATCCTGTAGCTTTTTTTATGAGTATGTTTCCTGATCTATACTTAGTATGTTAGAGAAGTAACCACTCCAAAAAAGATCTGTGTCCAGAACTGACCCTATATCCCTGTATTGAATAGTATAAAAGGCCTTAGCTCAGGGATCAGCAATATATTTAGGCAGAATGTAAAAAACACCTGTAATCTTGACTTGTAATATGTTGGAGTGCCAGGGGCTGACAGCATGGGAGTTATAAGTGGCCCAATCCCTGTTGTGGCAGCATAAACCCAGCCCCTAGCACACATGCCAAGCAAAATGCCTTTGTGTGCCACACACCGGCAGACATGCCAGGAGTTGCCTACCCCTACCTTGGCTGCTTCTCCCTGTTGCCCAGAGCAAGCAGCCCCTAGCATTGGCAGGTACAGGCTGCTGACTCTTGTTTTAGGTTCTTCCTAATACAGATAAGGAATAACCTGGCCCTGGTGTTTTTGCTGAATCTGTAATTGGGCTGAACAGAAGAACAGCTGAGCAATACTAACAGATTTAAGGAACTTGATTGCATGTTCTTTTTATCTACTATTTGAAACACTAAAATTAAAATCCTCCAACTACTTAACCACATCCTGCTGTAACATATGTACTATTAGCTGAAAATAGCAACTTTTAGCAAGTAAGTTGGACAATAATTATTTTGAGGTAACTATTCAATACAAGTTTCTCAATAAGAAAATTACCTTGCTGCGATGACAGTTAATATACTAGAATTCTATTTTATACAATTGTATGATGCACTGCCCTGGTTCTTTCAGGCACAAGAGGTTTCCACAAGGTTAGACATAGCGTATTATTCATGGTGTTAGAATGAGTTATTTACTCAAATATTGGAAAGTATAAAATTTTAATAAAAATTATGTGGAAAAATATTTAGTTTTCATCAATCATTCAAGTTTAATTTCCTAAGACCATTTACAAGCATTTGTACATATTATCAAGTAGCACCTGGTAATAAAAACTGAACTGTAGTTTACAAAAATATATATACATGATTACAACAGTATCTCTGAATATGCAGGTACAACATTTCGTATTACAAATCAAGTACACTAGATGGAAGTTGCACACACATTCCCCCACAGGTATTAAATTAAAGTATATTATTAGTCTCCAATTATTTGTCAGATTGTCTCTTTAGGACAGTTATAAAGGCATCTTTTGGCACTTCCACATTGCCAATTTTCCTCATCTTCTTCTTTCCCTCTGCTTGTCTCTTTAAAAGCTTCATTTTTCTTGAAATATCTCCACCATACTATTAAAGGGGAAAAAATATTCAAGTTCCACATATTTAAATACCGCTTAGTCTAAAAGTTATACTGTAACGCAAGTTTTAAAACTGTATTATGAAGTCTACCAGAGTCTCTCTTTTTTAAGATAATAAGCAACACATAATTAAACTAAGTCCCAATAGTCACCTCTTGGAAGGGAGAAGAGAAGCAATGAACAGACTAATTTAGGCAGTTCCATAGGTATGCACTATCAGTTTCCCTATCACACAGGTTGATCGCATGCTGAATTTGCTCAAGAGGTACAAAGGCTAAGGGAAAGCAAGCTTTACTTCTCTAACTTATTTCTGGTCTTTTAGATCCTTAAAAGTCTAACAAGTGTTGCTTTTTGTATAATTCTCTCTAGTCTGTGTAAAGCTAAGCTTTACATCATTCAAACTAGATTCTAAATTGATCACTGAAAATCAATACAAACCTATCTATAAACTAGTGTCAGCTTGGGGACTTTCTTATATCACTGACTCAGTGGCGTGTGCGTGGCTTACACACACACACCCCTGCTGAAAAACAGCCAACTTCTCTGAACTGTATTACAAGTATAGTAAAAGTGTCAGGATGCAAAAAAAGACAATCACCACAATACATTTAGATTTCTCCCTCTCCCTTTCCAGAAAGGCTCACAGTGGGTTACAACATCCAAACAATCCACAAGAAAGAAAAGCAAGCACAACCTCTCTGGCAGACACGGAAAGAGGCTCAAGGAAGTAGGTAGATGGATCATGTCACTTTAGTGAAAGGATTTACATTTAAATGCATTAGGAATTCCCCAACTGAAAAGAAATACATACACATTTTGCCAGGACATCCTTTCTGTAAGCTTTCAACCTGAAAGAGAAAATACCATATACTATCTGCATGACTGAATATCTTAGGAAGTCCAGGCCCTCCATGAGGTGCCTTATTCTAACCCTTAAGAACACATGAAACAATACAACACAATCCTCAGATGGTTGGGCATCATTACCCAAATCAGTATCGCATTTAAAATACTACAGTCCAAACAAAACTTGAAGGTTGCCTTTTAAAACTCTCCCAATATTGAATAAATAACTGCAAAATCCAAAAAAGAGTGTATGTTACATAACTAAAATGTTATGATCTCCCTCTTTAAAAGTTACATCTGTGACTTTATCAAAATAAGTGTAGTTTAAAAACATACAATACTTTCATTAACCAAAAGCCAGTAATTTTTGTGTAGCCAAGAATTCATTATTGCAATGAAGCAATGTTCACTATCTGCTAGATGAGTGAACATCTCAACCAAGGTGCCACAGCACCCTGGAGTGTCTGTCTTGAAATCCTTTCAGGAGTGCCATGGAACAACCCAAAGATTTCAAACGAATCCATTGTTAAAAACATCCTGTCCTGCTGCAGCAGAAAAATTGCTATTATCTTTCCTTAGTCAAAAAATGTGTGAAAAACTAAGAGCTGGCATTTACCAAGGGGTGCCTTGGGTCTAGAAAGGTTGAGAACCATTGTATTAGAGATGACTAGTTGTTTAAAGGCATGCCCTGATTTCTACTGTTCATCAATTCTTTACATATTAAGAACCACTGGCATGATAACTTTTTCTGCTTGGACCCTCTACTGTCTGCAATTACTTGCCATAATCCAAATCCTAGTTTTTTACAGCAACCAAAAAACTGAATTGGTATCATACCAAATAACAATGGTCAGTTTTCAGTGGAGCCGGTTTTGTGGAAATGCCTTTGTCCAGCCTGCACACTGTTTCCTATGGAAGCAGCAGCTTGCAAAGGGATGGAAAACAAAAGAGAACTCTCCTGCCTCTCATATTTCCAAGGTGCTAGGACCCTTTATTAAATGGAAGTCTAATCAAGGATAGCATACAGCAAGAAAATTTTATCAGTGAAAACTATTTTGCTACATCCTAGAAGTAACTCCCCTTTGCGATCTGCTTCCAACTTATGCTCCATCCATTAAAAGCATTTTGTTTTTATACACTCATAGTAACAACACTGGATTGTTTTTTCTTTGACTTTATAAACTTGAAAAGAATACCAGGTTCAAAATCTGAAAATCAAGCAATCATTTTATTATGCAAGAAACTGACAGTATATGGGGAATAGATAGACAAAACAATTATACCAAAAAGGAGAGGGTTAGAAATTACCATGTGCCACTGCAGCTGTATCTTGTGTCCAGCCCAATCCCACATCAAGTGGAAACTAAACTGCAGTATTTAGCTGTTTCAAAATGCCCCAATTTAGCTTTACTTACTGCAGGATACAGTGAACAAACAGAACAGTTAGGACTGATCAGCTGATATGTGTTTCTGAGCAGGAAGTCTCCCCCACTTTTAATTCAGTATAATTGTTTCATCTGCCCATACCTTATAAGAGAAAAAATGTAGGCCGCCTTATTTAAGTCTCCCACCAGTTGGAAATATAAGTGACAGCACCTTGCCACTGTTCACCCTGAAACAGGTTTGGTTATACAACAAAATCTATTTGAACAGAAAATAAAGAGTTCTCATCACAAAACTTCACTGAAGTCAGAACAAGTGCAACTTACGTTTCTCTTGCAATAATTTTATTGCCAATAGCAGCCTGGATGGCAATTTCAAACAACTGTCTAGGAATAGCATCTTTTAAACGTTCACATACGGCTTTACCAACAGCATATGCCTTGTCCCTGAAAAAGAAATATACAAGTGTTTTTAGGGCAAATACTGCAACCCTAGAAAAAATATTAAAGATAAATATTTTTAACAGTTTATAATAAAAGACTTCACACAATCTGCAGTTATGAAATTCAAAATATATTGTTAATATATTGCATCTTACTGAATAAGTAGTTCAATATAATTAAACTAATTTCAGTTTAAGATGTCTAATTTAAGAATTCTGGTCCTTTGATATTGATTTTCATATCCTTGAACTCTGTATTAAAGTATGCTATAATACTGGAATAATTCAGCTTGAAAGTCTTAACCAGTTTTAGAAGGAAGGGTCTACCTTAAGGAAGATAATGTTCGACTGATACTGAGGTAAAATCACATACAAAGGTAGGATTTGACTAAGGACTGGAAAATGAGTCAAATGAATCTGGACACCACAGCTTCCTTCTCTTTTGCAGAAGCTTGCCTTGTTAATTAAAATCTGCATAAAATAATATTTGCTTACAGTGCCCACGTGTATGTTTCCATTTTATAAATATGAACTCTACATATGTTCTCTTTTTCCAGTCTTTGATAAACTCTCTTCTCACCAAACCTGTTCGATTTCCAAGTCACAGTGGATTCAGAAGCTAAAGACCAGTGAAGGGCCGTATGTCAAACCCTATTTTGAAAAGGTAATAGAAACTCAACATGATAAATTATGAAAAAAAACTTTATATACCATAGGCACCTGGTAAAAATGCTGTCTTCACTGTGTGTACACTCTTCCAAGTATGGCGTAACTCAGGAACACAAAAGCAAATTTACAAGGAACTGAAATTATGTGGAACATAGAACTAAGCAACTTTCAATTAATTGGATACCTTTAAGAAACCAGTGTCTTATTTTCATCAAACCTTTCCACAATATTGTCTGCTCTCTTCAAAGGAGAAAGTTTATCCTTCTCCCTCAGTGTAAACTCTTGCTTATCCACAGTTACCCTATCTTAACATTTTCTACTTTCTCTGATTAATAATTTGTATCTTTTAAAAATAATTAAAGTATTAAGTATATCTCAAGTTTTAAAATGCCTCTTTTCTTTTACAGATCATTCCTGAAGGCAGCTAAATGGTGAAGTACTCTGTCCTATATTAATGTATGTTACCAGCATCTATAAAACTATTTTTGATTCGCTGGCTGAGGCCATCCAGTTCATCAACTCACTTGTGTACAACAGTTGCAAGTTCCTCAACAGTGTTTCCATTTAAAAGAAAATCCATTTTGACAAGGTCTGCAGCCTGGTATCCTGCATCTTCATAATCAAAACTACACAGAGAAAAAGTTTAAAAGTTAGCAACACTTGTGATAAATCCTGTGATCCCGGTGTTAAAAGTTTGTTTTCTATATCATTTTAATAAAAAGACACTTGGATTTTTGTTAAAATACAGATAGATTCCTTAAATTGTTTTAGTAAATAGTTCTCTCCAGAACTGAAAAAATCTTATTCCCAAATATTGGCAGGCATCCTTTCTTCCAGCTATTAAGTAGGGTAAGTTAGGACCAGTGGTGCACCCCCTGAGAGCCCACATGCACCCCCTGACCAGCTGCGATGGGCAGGCGACCCCATCCCTGTGAGCACCGGCCAGGACGTGGGAGCGCTGGATGTAAGCCGCGGCTTCTGGTTGGTAAGCTTTGCCATGGGGATGCCCCCCTCACAGCCGGAAAGATCGGCTGTGGGGAACGCCCCCTACAGGTCGCTGACTGGTCGCTGGGGTGGGCACATGACCCCCCTGAATAAGGTGGCACCAGTCAGTCATGGTTGGGACCATCACCATCTCCACTGGATTCTCTAGGAGCCTACACAGGGACCAAGGAGCTTCTTTCCCCAATTATTCCAGGGGGAAGCTACATAAAGCCCCAGCCCACAGAGGCTATCAGCTGCAGCAGCAGACTACACAGCCCAAACTTATCTGTGGTTAGAATTCTATACCTTAAAACAGGACTGCTGAACTGTTTTTATTTATATTCCTATTTGACTAACTGGTTGCTCCTACTTGATAACAAATCTCATTCTCTTCAGCTTCTCCCTCCCCTCTTCACCATCAGCTTCCTTCTCTTTCTCTCCTCCACTTCCAAAACCCCCCGTTCAGTTTTTTAATCCCCACCCTCTTTTCCTGTGATTCCCCTTCTTTTCACCATTTTCTTGCTCCTCTAGCTCAATCATATACAAGCAATAAAAAAACAATGCCAATTATAATCCTAGTTCCATAAAACAAATTTAAGAAAAGCACAGAAGACTAATCAGCATGCAACACCAAAACAAGCTTATGACCCTGTTATTGTAATTCTCAGAATACTCTCCCACTACTTAGTAGTAGTTTTTCATTTGCCCTTTGTAAACTATAATCTTTTCCAGGGAGAAGATCATGTCATTCTTATGCTGTAAAATGACTAACATAATTATGATCACTAAAGATATAAGTACTGAGGCCACATCAAAGCATAATGCATCCTAATGCCAAATCTCTTGAGATCAGGTTTCAGACACAAGAGGCAATGAGCTTTCACCAACTTAAATCTCATCTACCAAGTAACATTCCAGTCAGCTAAACTCCCTTAGGCTACTAATAAGTACCAGCACATTGTTATATTTTCCAATATTTAAGATTTTACCTAAAGGAATGCATTTTCATCTCAATGTGCAAAGTTATTTGCTTAATTCCCAGAACAAAGTTGAGAACATTTCTTTTCATGTGGGCTTCTGACTAGTTCTAATGAATTACCATTTTGAATTATTTCCTTAAAAATCCATTTTCAGTCATCCCTTTAACACAATAACAATACTCATACAATGCCAGGTCTCATAATGGAGTGCACCACACACTGGAACAATGCTGGCAAGAGAAGAAGATTCTATAAGAAGGTAAATTAGGTTAACTGATACCTAGATTAATTATCACTGATGTTCATAGTGTAATCTGTTTACAGCTGGAAATTTTAAAAAGGGCAGAGGAAGTTAAACTCCAAACTCCATTTGGCCCCTTTCAAAACTCCTTCCTGCATGACAGAATCAAAATGTAAAGAAACTTCTGTTCTGAATTTCCCTTTTCAATAATGATTATAGTGATACCCAGAAATGCATGGAAGCTATTACACTTCCATCCCATTGAGTGTCTCTCCTTACAGCATCTGACGTTGAACTATGGTTATTTCAGAACTGATATATAAAGAAAACATGAGTGCCAAGGCACCTAAAGTCAGGTTCAGTTGGTTCTGTCCCATTTCTGTCAATTAGTTATAGAAGCAGTGCTCAACCTCTGGCCCGTGGGTCATGTCCAGCCTGCAGAGCCATGTCATCCAGCTCATGGGGCTCCTGACAAGTCCAGAAATTTGGCAGCAAGGAAGCAGTATAAATGTTAATTGCTCCCAGAGCTGTGGCAACTAATGCTGCTGCCACTCCCTCACTGCCAAATTTCCAGACGTATGTGGAGCCCCATGGCCTGGATGAAATGGCCTTGTGTGCTTGATTGTGCTGGCACAGAGTTACACAGTGGCTGGATCTGGCACAGAGAATTGTGCTAGCAGGCTAGATCACACTTGGGACCAACTTTGTGCACATGATCCTAACAGTGAACTGTCCCTGCACTGCTCACCAGGCCCACAGGGCCAGAGCAGTTAAGTACCACTGACTTTGCAAATATGACCTTCCTTCTCTGCCTCGGCTGATTCAGCTGTAAAAGATTTAATGCCATTACCCTATTCAAAGAAACAGTCTAAGGCTTGGGTAAAAGGTAGAGCTGTAGTAATATTTTATACTTCAAAAATTCCTAGGCTTCTCTTACTATGTAAAATATTCCAAATGGAAATGTACCCAAAGAACCCTGTCTGCCAAATGGACATAACAATTTCTTTTATACATTTACTAACCAAAATAGCTCCCACATCTCAAAGCTGGCTGAACATTCAACTATTTTTCACGATCTAGTTTTAGTTTTCCCATAGTTGCATGAAAAACACAAAACACATTTGCTTCAGTCAAAGACCTAGTCATAACTTTAGAATGCGGTCTCATCTGCCCTGTTGTATCCCTCCTTGTCGGGTCCCTTCTCTAATCACAGTATTTTTCATCACATTCTCCTTTTTTTTTTTTTTTTTTTTTTTTTTTTAACTAGAATGTAAGGCAACACTAGTTAGGACATGCATAAAAGACCATTTCTGCATCATTACAAAAAATATTCTTCCCCAATTAAATGTTAGTGTTAAGAGCTGAAAATTTCCTTCCATGCCTTTGAAAATTCTTTCATATTTTTAACCTCTTCAGAATAAAGGAAGCTTACCTAGCATATCCAGAAGACAAGGATTTTAGTGTGTCATAGAAATCCACAACAACTTCATTCAGTGGGAAGAGATATTTCAGCATAACCCTCTGTTCATCAATGTATATTATGTCTTTTTGAACGGCCCTGCGAGCCTACAACATAAGTTTAAACAACAGAAGTTCTCCCCTGCATAAAAAATGTATAGTTTCCATGTACAGAATCTAATTACTGAGGGGTCGTCCCCAGTGTTCCAGGAAGGTGGACAGGTGGTATGGGGAGGCTAAGTAGCTTGTCCCCTGCTTGTGCCTGTCCCCCTGCTACTGCCCTCCTTGCAGCCTTGCCCCCACTTTCCTTTCTGTTCCATCTCTGTGCCCCCTCCTTTGCCCTTCCCCCTCTTCACCCCTCGCCTATGATCCCCCCCTGCCCCTTCATCTTCTGCTTCCCCCCACATCACAGCCTCTGTTTCCACCACTCCTTAATTTTGCTCTCTGCTGGCAGGCTCCATTTCCATTCTAGTCTGGGGCACAAAGCATGGCCCCAGCCCCAGAGCAGCCACGTGGGCTGTGTGCTGTTGCTACGGGGTCAGGCTGGGGCCATGCTTAGTGTCCCACGCCACTATGGACAGAGCCTGCCAGCACAGATCAAGGATAAGGGGGGCAAAGGAGACGAGCAGGCAGGGGAGCAGAGGCTGCGTTGGGGGGTGGGGAGGAGAGAGGAATGCGGGGGTGCAGAGGTTGCAGCAGAGAGTGGGGCAGGCAGCAGCTACAGCCCCAACCCCAGGTAGGGGCTACAGCCTGAGCCACAGTAGCTGCCTTCCCACCCTCATACTTAATTCTAATATGAGAGGCTCCCCTTTCCATTCCCAGCCCTCATCTTAGAATTGAGTAATATGGTACATTGAGAAACTCCAGCCACAAGCTATGAGACAGCATACATTCTTTTTTCTAGTCATTTGCTTAGGCCCCAAACTAAATAAGCATTATAACATCACAAAACATTAAGTATCTGTACTTCATATGAAATAATGTTGCTTATTCCACCACCTAATACAAGATTTCCAAATGCTTCTTGCCTCATCACTGAAAATCCTAATATATTTTGCTCCTACCCCTTAATGCATTAAATTCTGCAAACAGTTTTTAGTATGTGGATCTTACTGCTACACCTAGCACCACTGAAGTATACATGGGAGTATAGCTCTGCAGATGACTGCAGGATCAATACCTAACTCCCTTATTTCCAGACTACTGATTACACTATATGCGTTCGGCACTAATACTGTTCTGTATTATGTAATTTTATGTGTTTCAAAGCATTATGATATTTATGTCTATTGCAACAGTTACTTTTGTCTTTATACTTAATTAAAAAAAAAAACAAATAAAATCTTTCCAATGCAACTAGATTGGGCTGTTCAGGTAAAGAACAAAGTTTTTAAAATGTGCATTTGCAACTGAAAGAAGCAACACTTTGCTATTTGTTTTTTTGCTAAAATGGGATATTAAGCATCATTTTTATCATCCTGATCTGTTCCACATTTGGACAAGAACAGGTGAGTCATACCTGCACAGATGCTCGTCTGAGTAACAAGAACCTGCAAGCTTTCTTACAGGAAGCTGCAAACTTCCCAACAGTTTTTTTGGGACTGATACAAAATATGTTTCAAATTACTCCTAAAAACATTGTAGGTAAATTACTCCAACAGCTCCCACTAATTTCCCCTCTAGAAGAAGAATCAAGGAACTAGAACAAACACCTTTTTTACAGCATTCAAAAGACTTTGGATACTGAGCTTGAACATTATATGGAATTCTGAAGTCAGAAGTGAGGTCATTCACACCCGAGTTTTAACATTTAGGTTTTACTGGAAAAGAATTATTATTTTTTAACATTTCCAAGCTACCCATCACTGTAGCATTCAGACACCAGAGGTAGTTTAATAATGCGCATACAAAACTAAAGTGATATACAAACCTGACACAGAGTTATAATTTTTCCCATATATACATCTGGTGTTATGACAGTACCCAAAATAGTTGGCTCCAAATATTCTGAGACGGAATTTTTATCAGGAAACTCAGCAGGGTTGATTATAATAATCTCTTCTTTACCATATTCCTGTAAGAGGAGAAACTGTAGGTTGAGAACTTAAAGCAGCATGTACACACACACGCGCGCGCCTAGCATCTGACAAAGGAGGTTGTTGGCTATGAAAGCTGAACCAGTTCATTTTTAACGTACCACCTTGCTTTAACTTCTGTCTTTAAAAAGTACTACTAGTAAACTACATTCTCGGAAAAAGGGATGAACTGAATGAAAATACAATATTGTGAGATGATATAGAGTTGTATTGCAGTTATTTGAATACACACTTGTGAGTAATACTGTTATCCCAAATATATGCCAAATAATTCTAAGACCTCATCACAGATGCCTCACTACAGTGGCAAAGATATTGAACAGTATGTGTCATCTAGGTTATGATCCTCAGAGAAGTAAAAAAAAATATTTCATTTTTTCTCAGTTCAAATGTATGGGAACAAATACACAACTTTTAAGTAGTCTTTCAAACCCTTTGATTTCCATACAATTGGTAATATTTATTCATATAATGTTCCTGTCAAAGGAGCAGCTGAAACAAAAGACAGAAAAAATACTTTAAAGAACCTTTCCAGTATGAAAACGTACATACCTGCAGACAGTTCATTAGGAATATCAATGGCAAGAAATGATGTTTAATCACATTAAAATGAACTGCAGGCTGAAACATGACAGGGGCTTTTTTTTAATTCTCATTGCCCAATGAGATCCCTTAGCCTTATCCACAGTATCCGGTAACCATCTGAAAGAGACCCCTCTCACCATACACGGTCTACATTTTGCAACAAATGCTGGATTTATTCTCATAAAAATATTTAAATACTAAATTAATCATAGAAAGCATGGACAGAATTGGCAGAGATCATCTAGTCTATCCCCCTGCCCCCAAAGCAGCATCTATCATTCCTGACAAATTTATCTAACTTGCTCTTAAAAATCACCAATGGGTGGGACTGCACAGCATTTATGACACTTGACAGCTGGGGTTCTGGGCTCAGCATTACATATAAGAATTGGTTCTGGTTTTAATAGTGAGATGATAACCACTAAAAACAATTCAACATTTAAGTAGCAGGGAAAAAGTAGTGTGATAATCGGCAGCATGATAATTAGAAGAATGCTATGTTTTGCCTTAGTAAGCCTATAAATGAATAGCATGTTTTGAAACTATCCAAAAATATAGACATTACATTTTGAAATCTTAGAATCCTAGAATCCTACAAAATTTTGGAAGGCACTGAAACTTACCACACACAAAGAATTCTAACACTTCGGGAATGTTGTTCTACCATTGGTCGTACAGTTGTAGATCTTCCCACCACTGCAACTTTAATTCCTATAATGTTCATTTGGAAGTGTATTTTCTATATTCTTTATAATTACATTACTAGAAGCCTTAGCTGTTGAACATCTGGTAAGATGTGCTAAAAAATTACTTAGCCCCACAAGTATATGTTAGTTTTAAATTAAAATCAATGGAAAACTTAAAAGTTTTTGGTTGGACACTGTTTACTTTTCATGAAATAACTGAATGCATGAACAATTGAAATAATTCAGTCTTATTCCTGTTTTCCAAAACAAATAATTTCTCTCTCATCAAAATCAAAATTATACAGAAGAAACACAAGATGCTATATTAGTTCAATTCAAATGTTGTTTTTAAAGCTTTTGGGAAAAGAAAAACATAGGAAAGACCAAAAAGACGGGATTTCTTAGTAGACATGCAATAAAGATATATTTACATAGAAAACTATTATTTAGGTTAAAAAATCCCAAACACAGAAGTAGAAAGCACTAAAATTAAAGGTGCCTCTGTAAATTTAATTCTTCCCTTTTGTATGTGCACATTATGATACAGTCCAGGTCATATATAGGGCTTGACAGATTTTTCTTTTATTAAAAAAAAATAAATAAAATGTATATTATCTGTCAATTTATTCTCATTTTTAAGCATTTATTTTAATTTTATTGATTTGAATTTTCAAGACTGTGTGAAATAAAGGCTGTGGGGGGGCAACAATTTTTTAATGACAAACATAGCTACTGTAGGACTGCCACCAGCAGAGCAGCAGAGCTGACATCAGTCCTGGCTCTGCAAGCCCCTAGCTCCATCGTCCATGTCGTCACTTCCTCTTCCTTTGTTCCCAGTCCTCTGGGATTTCTGGGAGTTGCAGTCCAAACTACAGTCAGCACAGTTCTCTTGCATTGCTCCCCCTGCTGTCACACACTTTATCAGCCATCATTTTTCTTACATCTCCTTTCTACACATTTCAGTTATTAACAATGGAAATATTTTTGTCAGTCTGTGAGTGTGAGGCAAAAATCAATGCTTATCAACGTTTACTGATAAAAATCAAATCCTGCCAAGCCTAGTCATATCATATGGTGATGTTTTCAAAACAGTTACATACACATGGCTAGCTACATTTCAGACAGAAGCACTGAGTCTTTCATTTCATACATTCTGAGCATGCTGAATTAGCCCAAGATGCAGCTTCCCATATTAGAGAACTGGGTGCGACTCCCAATTTGCCTTCCCTTTTAATGGGCTGGGATACATCAACAAAGGTTTAAACACAGAATACTAGTTAGTAAAAGAAATTAAACCTGAACCCATGGTCTCTTTGATTCCCACCAGCAATAAACAAAAAATGTGGGGAATCTGTGTTATCTGAACCCTATCCAGAAATGCTCTGTGGCACACATGCATGTATTGTGCCAACGGAACTGACATCCAAAATTTTTGCTGCAGATCTCTTTAGGTTGCTAGGCACATGCACATACACAAATGTGCACAAACCCCAAAATGGGTAACTACAAGGAAGAAAATGTAAAGGTAAACCATTGACAAGGAGATGATGATCAAATAAACTTTCACTTTGGCCGAATAAGAAATGAGACTTATGCCAACTAGCCCCTTGACTGACAGGCACGTTGCTGCACTGCAGTAACTATAATCTAACTCTGCACTGGTTTAATCCTTCTGCACCCAACACTTAGATGTTTTAAATAATTCATTATTATTTCTGGAAGTTGCGAATGGTCAGAATCCTAGTCGACTAAGCACTGCTTACGCCTCAGCTGCAACCTGTTTTGGCACTGTAAGAAGTATACAAAACACCTAAGCACAGTCTAAAAGTAAGTCATTGAAAGCTATATGATAAAAGGTTGTAGAAACTAGGTATGTTTACTTTGACAAAAGGCGATTAAGGGGAAAAATGATGGCAATTTTAAAATATTTGAAAGGCAATCATAAACAAGAGGGAGAAAAATTGTTCTCGTCACAGAGGGCAGAACACAAGGCAAAGATATAAATTACAGCAAAAGATTAAATCTCAGGGAAAGAAAAAAGCCTTCTCAACTAAGAACCACAGTGCAATGAAACAAAATGCTCATGGAAGCTATGAAATCTCTTTCACTGGACGTTTTCAAAGAGAGGTAGGATAAGCTTTGTAGTAAGCACCATTGTCCTACCTAAAGAGATCTGCAGCAAAAATTGTGAATGTCAGTTCCATTGGCACATGCATATGTGCCAGAGAGCATTTCTGGATAGGATTCAGATATGTAGTAAGCACCATGGTCTGGGATGCTTTACAATGGTGCTTACTACATATGTGCAGAGGGTTGGACTAGATGATCCTTAAGGTCCCTTTCCTATGATCAGAGTTGACCCAAGCAGGGTGTGGGGCCCAGGGCAAATCAGCCCTTGTGGGGCCCTGCCCCTACTCCAATCCGGGCCCTGGACCTGAAGAAGCTGGTGGCGGGGGCAGGGGGGGGAAGTGAGCGGCTATATGCAAAGCCTCCACTCCGCCCAGGTCCGCACTGCCACTGCTCTGTCCCACTCTGGACGCCCCCCCAAAGCGCAGGGCCCAGGGTGGTTGTCCTCATTCACGCCCCCCTAGTAACAGCCCTGCCTATGATTTTATATAATGAGCGTATAGTTTGGCAGAGAGCAAAAAGGGTGATGGATGACTGGTATTTGCTATAACAGAACTAAGGTTGTAGCATATGCTTGCCGTGTACAGTAACAGTAATAGTGATATAAGCAAAATGTACTTGAAAATGGAATATACTGCTCAGTGACTTAATGTTATGGTTCCTTGTTTTTGTGGGTTTCTATCAGACATCTTGTCTGCGTAGGAACCCTAACTTCTTTCAAATGAAAAGTTAAGCAATTAGTCACCTTTATTTAAAGGTTTAATAACAATTCATCAAAAAAAAAAAAGGGATACAGAAAACAGGGAACAGGAGAGATGAAAGATGCATTTGTCAGCAGTTACTTGCCATCCCCAATACAGACTTACAGTAATCACTATGTTATTATTAGGGACCTACCAAAATAGCGATTTTGTAGATTTTGTGAAATCCAGCATTGCCTGCAAAAAAAACAGGCAAGGCCTGCAAAATCCCCCCACACACAAAAAAAACAAAACAATGAAAATAAAATGCTTGATTTCCAGAGGAAGCCTACAGTCCTCATGCTGTTGCGACCCAACCGCACAGCAACCTGCTGGGGGGAGGGTTTAGAAGTGGGGAGGGGGCTGCTGGCACAAAGGGGAGTCCAACATGACTACTGTCCCTGCCTGCCCCTCACCACTGACTGGCTGAGAGGGTTGCCTGTCATGTGGCTCTGCCCCTCTCCACCAATCAGTGGCAAGAGGCAGGGCTGTATGAAGGACAGCCCTTGCAACCAATCAGTGATGAGGGGCAGGGCCATCAGGTCCCCTCAGCCAGAGGCATGGGGGGGTGGGGGAGGGGCCCCAGCATGGTCAGCCCACGAAAATGGTGGCTAGCCCCACAATCTCCCAGTGAAATCAGCTGGCCACCTCAAGTTGGGTAGTCCCCTACTTATCAGCTGGAAATGGCAAATTTTCAGCTAGTAACAGTGTCCCATTTCAATAATGAAAGTATGTATTGCAGTGTTTACCCTCCTTGCAGAGGGCCTAGGCATTGGGGGGTGGGGAAGCAGACAAGCAGGGACAGCTGGAGCTTGCCCTTTCCTGTTTCTCTCTCTATACCTTCTACATCACCCTCAAAGCATCTCGGGGCAGCCCCTCATTGAGAATCACTCAACTCAAGTTTCCTGAGAGGAAAGCGGCCTTAAATGGAAAGTGGAAAAAATCTAAGCACTGGGGATTCGACTGTTTCTTAGAAACAGTTCATTTCAAGCTCCAATAAATAACTATTATGGTACCTTTATCAGTTTCGCTGAGGAAAGAACAGCTTTATATGGAACAGTCGGTGCAGTCAAAATGACAGATGCATTATATTCTTGCTCTAAGCGCTGGTTAAAAACTTCCATATGTAGAAGACCAAGGAACCCCAACCTGAAAAAAAATATTACTAAATGTGTGTACTGTATTACTTATTATGAAGATAGTGCTAGGGACTACCTAACTGATTCAGCACCCTTAAGTGCAATAAAGACAACCTCGATAAAGTGAAATATGAAACTGAAAATTGTTCAATATGATTTTTCTTGAACAAGGACTGCTAAACTGGACAAACGTGCTGTGCACAAATGTAGAGTAGGAATATATCAAACACTTTAAATTCTAAATCATAAGACCAAAATGAAAGTTCCCAGAAATAAAAGACTAATGCCATTTTTATCAATCATTTACAATTTTTAATGCTCATTTATAAAATAGTTCCTAAAGTTAAAATGTGTGTAACAAAATAATCCTCACCTCCATCCAGCTCCTAAGGCAACACTACTATCGCGATGAACAGTTACACTGGAATCATTTAATGTCAGTTTTTCTACAGCACTTTTCAGGTTATTATATTCTGATTGGGCAATTGGATACATTCCTGTCAAAACAAAGTCACACCGTTCACAAAAAGGCCATTGCAAACCTCACTTTATTAATCTAAACCATTTAACTATATCTCAACAGGCTGAAACATATCTTTTAGTCGTAGCTCCTATATAACATAACAAATAGGGAAATGGATTTAAAATCCAATTCACCTTAAAGGAAATGTTTTACGTGGAAATATTTCAAAAGAACAGAATTTATTAAGGATTCTGGCTAAATGCCACGCCCCCAAAAATGACATAATACACATACGACTATAATATAAATAAATTCGAACAAAGTAACCAAACTACAAATATTATACTAAAAATAAAGCCCAACATAAAAACATTATTAATATAAATATAGTATAAATAAAGACATGAACCTACAATATTGTTGTACATAGATCCACAACTGACACAATAAAATCAAGTCTAATGTTAAAATGCATCACTCATATCAGTAATAAAGGATATTTAACGCTAATCGCCTTAGCCTTATAACCAAAAATTACAAGGCAGTTTACTAAATTTGGTGTTTGCTGTAAAAGCCAGATTAACTTATCTCTGTTTGAAAAAATGTATCAATTTCTGCAAGAATGGTAATAAATAGGTTCCCCTTATGTCATTATATAAAGAGCATTCTAAAACATAATGGATAGTATCTTTCAAAACTCCTAGACAGACTGGGCAACATCGTTTAGCCGTTGGTATGGAAAATCTATGTCCAGCCAGAACAGCTGTGGGCATCTGTCTGGTCCTTAATCTAGTCAAAGAGGATCAACATTTATTATTGAGATCCAACTGTAAATACCTTTCTCCCCCCAGTCCAACTTCCACAGTGTATATAAAAGGGACAATACAAGTAGCCCTAGCCACTGCAAAATCATTCTGCCTGGCAATATCTCGCATCCTCTGGAAAACCCGAACCTTTTCTAGGGAAAAAAATCTTTCATTATCTTTGAGATAGTATCTCATCTAGAAAGTGCAAAAGTACGGGAAAGAAAAGCTAACCAGGGTGATTGGAGAGGAGGGGGATTATTAATATCTTCTATGTAGCATAATTTAAGGAGACAAGCTGGTAAAAGGGGCAGGATTTTAAACCAAAATCCCACCATTCTAATAATAATATTAGTTAAAATAGAATCCATTCCCATCTCTAATCTCAAAAAAGATACAGGAGTTAAGGGAGGAAAAGCCAGAAGAGCGCTAAGAAATTTGTTCTCAGGTACGTCTACATCATTACTATTGGCATAACCCCATACTTCAGCACCATATAAGATCTGAGAGGTAACTTTGGCTTTATATGCTGATATAGGAGCTTGGACTGATTGTCCTGCTGTGGTTTCAAAAAATTTCTTTATAGCCACGGCCGATTGGGCTGCCTCAGTTTTAATTGACTGAATATGATGTTTCCATGAGGGAGAAGCTGTGAATAACACACCCAAATACCTATAGGTTTTGACAACTTCAAGTTTGGTTCCCCCCTATATTCCACTGATATTTTATCAAACAACTTCCCCAATACATTATTTTGGATTTAGCATAATTTATCTTTAAGTTACTTTGTCCACAAAGATGCTCAAAAGTTGTAATTGCTCTCTGTAATCCAATAGGAGTTTTTGACAGTATAACAGTGTCATCTGCATACATTAAAATAGGGACTGGGGTTGTTAATAGTTTTGGGGGATGAAAATGTGCATCCTGCATATTTCCAATAATGTCATTCATGTAAAGATTAAACAACAAAGGGGCCAAAATACATCCTTGTCTAACCCCTTTTTGATGTGAATTTGTGTAAATTCACCCTTCAAGCCCCACTTAACTTGGGCCCATGTATCTTTGCAATATTCTATCAACAAATGCAAAAGGGAAGGGTCAATTCCATAATTTATCAATTTCTCCCAAAGTTTACTTCTATCTTACGGTCAAAAGCTCTTGACAAGTCTACAAATGCAATATACAGTATTGATTTGCGCATACTTATGTCACAAAAATTGAAGAATAAATATGTTATCAATAAGGGAACATGCATCCCTGAATCCGATCTGATGTTCACGTAATATGCTTTCCCCTTTTACCCATGTGTGACAGGGCACTGTTGGTGCCTGTCACTTTAAGACCAGAGCCAAGCAGCCAGCAGGTGCTTGACTGCAGCAGCCATTTTAGATCTCTGGCCACCCATATAAACAGATCAGTTTCCTGCTGGCAAGTAGTAACATCATCTGGCTGCAAGGCTCCATAACATCCTGGAGGCAAGGGCAGGAGCTGCAGGGATCAAATTTTAACTGAAACGTCTATCAAACTTATAGGGCGATAAGATTCTGGCTTATCTTTTAAGCCTTTCTTGAAAATAGGTACAATAAAACTCCCTTTCCAGGAATCTGGGATTTGGCCCAACTCAATTATAGTTATACCATTTTTCCAGGATCTAAGTCCACCATTTGATATTATCAATGTAAACTTCCACTGGTATTCTATCTGGAACTGGGGCTTTATTCTTCTGTTGTACTTTGAGGAAATATGCTATTTGATCCTTTGTTACCCGATACTTAATTGCATCAGTGAGGGGTTTATTACTACTTATTTGTTCCACAGAAGTAACCTGATTGAAAAAAATATTCTACCCAATTGTCTGCAGTAATATTATTTTCAATGTTATAATTAAAATTAGCTGTTCCCTTTGATACAAGTAGCCAGAAAGTTGTACTATCTTTAGCAATAATTGCCAACCTCAATTTATCCCATTGCTGGTTATAATATTCTTTTTTTTTTCTGGAGAAGCAGTTTATATGCTTTCCATAAACTTCGAATCTCACTCTGAAAAGTTGTTTCAGTGTACCCAGTTTTCCTTTATTCCCCAGCTTTCCTATGTAATTATCTTTTCTGTTCTACACATTCTTAATCAAACCAGGAAGCACCTCATTCTTTAAAATGTCTGTACAGGATGGGAAGTTAGGAGGTACTGAGAGGAGTGGATCAAGAAGATCTTTAATTTGCTGGCATATGAACACACTTCAATTGTCTATCTAACTGAAACCCTAAAACAAGTCTGATGAAAAAAAGTTAAAATTCAAACCAGATTAAATAAAAACTACTAATAATCTGGAAGTCCATGAAAAATACACAGACAAGCAGAATCACTGCCCTTCTGCAAGATGCCCCTTCCAAAAAAAAGAGTCCAGTGCACAAAAACAAAGAAACATGCAGTTTTGAATCATCAGAAATGAAATGCAGGAAAAATAAATACAATTGCCAAAAAGCAACAGCCTGAACAACTGGCATTATGGACTCTACTGAGTCCTTATGATGCAGTTATCTACTGGAGATGGCATGGATTACTCTGCATCAGTAAGCTCCATCATGGGAACTCCAGGAGGCATTCAGTCCCCTATTTGTAGGCAGCACACACTACTCCACCACTTGGCAAAGTTTAACATCTTTCCCTTATGTGCTGGTCCCAAACTGATGGCCATACTAGGTCGTGCTTCACAAGTTACAGAACACAGTGATAAACAGCAGAAGTCACTGTGTACTGTTCATGACCTCTCTCTCTTCACTTCCATGCAACCATGTAAGGACCAAATTCAATCAAGTCATAAGTATCTGCTATATATTTTCCAAATAAGACCATTACAGGAAATATTTGAAAGGAGAATTCAATACAGCAATCACTTGCTCTGAACACCTATTAAATCTGAACTCTGTATATGTATATTTCAGGGCTGCCCAACTGGGAGACCACACACAGCAGACCATATACCCAGGGGGCACCACCCCCGGCAGCACACACAACCCAGCTTCCCAGTCACACACATCACATGGGCATCCCACCGTGCAGTATGGTCAACTTGCTTCCCCCCACTGCGCAAATAGCACCCCCACACTGCTCCCAGCTATGCATGTCACACCTGCAGCAGATAGTACAGGCAACCTGGCTCCCCACTTTGTGGAATGCACAGCACACACATAGACAGACTGGCCCTCTCCAGCAAAATGCACATCGGCACTAAAAAAATAGCAGTGGTACGCTTTGAAACTAAAGCACCTTCAATGTGTTTTAGTTCAAAAATGCACTGCCACCATTTTCTCAGCACTGACACACATTTCACCATTTATACCAATCCATGCAAAAAGCGCCCAGCACTGTGTCGCACGAATGTGTGCATACACCCAGTGTTTTATTCATATATTTACAATTTTAAATTAATCTGGAAGCCTACCAGTGCCTCAATCACTATAATAAAATAAATTCTAAGTACCTATACATTTTGGTATTTAATTTCAGGGGGTTTTACCATGGAAAAAATCAGAGCTCCTCCTGTCACCTTCACCCACTAGGACACAGGTCCAGGACCCTCACTCCCAAGTCACAAGCCCCCAGCCCTTCCATTCCCACCCCACAGCTGTCCCAGAGGGGGACCCCAGCTGCCAGGGCTATGGGGCCATGGACCTGGGTCCGGACCCCCCTGCCCCCCACAATAGTGCCCGAGCCCCGGCTACCACCCATAGGAGGCAGCGGCTGCTGAGGCAGAGTGGAAGGCTTAGCCCAGCTCCCTCTCCCCACCAGTGGCACAGCCAGAGCGGAGCTTATGGGGGGGGGGGGCAGGGGAGGAGAGGAGGGCACAGATGCAGGGTGCCTGCTGTAGGCTCAGACTCCCTGCCCTACTGCCCTCCCCCCCAGAGCTTCCACAGCCCAGTAGGCAAGACCCAGCACAGCAGGGCAGAGTGGGACCAGACGGTGAGGCTTGTATCACCACTGGGAGCTCCATGCCGCCATGGCAAGGTGCCCCATGCACGCCCAACAGTCACGCCTCCTACCATGCCACAAATGCATGGCAGGGGTCATGGCTGTTGGGACTATGGATAAGATCCCAGTCATGCCATTACTAGTTGCCAATACAAGGGGAGCTTAGATCATAATCCTGGGCCTGGCAAACTGAACTGGGGTCAATCAGCTGATTGTCAGTTCTGGCCCAGGAACCAGTGGTGATGCGAACGGGCTTCAGTGAGGTCCCAGGGTCAGAGCTGACAATCAGTTGATCAGCCCTGGCCTAGACTTTGATAAGTCGAGGTCACCTGACGCTGCCCAGACAGGCAATCAGCTGACTGTCAAAAACCAAGGCACAGCAGTTCTGGCGGATTAGCGGTTTCCCCTTCAGGAGACTTTTAAGCCCCACACCTGGCAGTTCTAGCTGGGCTGCTAGGTACAGGGAAGTCAAAGGGCTTCCCCCACTGTGGACTTTAAACCCTGTACCCAGCAGCCCACCCAAAGCTAATCAGGATAGAAATGTAACATGTAGAAGGGGCCTAGAAATCACCTTTCCCCATCCTCTGTAGACAGAAATGTTGCCTCCCAAACTACTACAGCAACCGTGTGGCGGGCCAGTAGGGGGCGCTCCTGCGTTGAGCAGCCCACCTCCCTACGCCCGACCACCTTCCAGGCTCCGAGTGCCTCCCTTAGGGTCCCTCACGTCCAGCCGACCCCTTCCCTAGAGCACACCCGCTAGCCTGGGGTTCCTGCTGCCACCATCCAAGGCTCTGGACTCCCTTCTGGCTCTGCGCACCTTGGAAAACACAGGCCTGATCGTCCAATGGGTGCTAGACCCAATACAAGCACTTGGGGCACTTCCCCAAGTCAGAGGCTATTTAGGAAAGTCTCCCTTAGTCCACAGACCTAAGGGGCCTCCTCGGCATAATTTAGACCCACCCCTCAATAAGTCTCCCACACCGGTCACAAGGAGAACTTTATTGATTACAGGGGGTAGGGTGGAAACAGGGTAAAAGGTAGAGCAGTATCATAGAAATATTACAGGAATATCAAAGGAATCCCATAGAGCAAACCAGGGTGGCTGAGGTAGCCGTTTGAACACGCATCTGAGTTACTGAAGCTAAATATCTAATTGGATCTCTAGTAGCTTACTCACTCGCATCATCCAGAGGTGGTTGTTGTTTCCTCTGGAGGCAGGGCACTCTTGCAGCATGCGGTGATGAGGAGAGAGCCAGGTTCAGATACACCTGGATGACCGCATGGCTAATGGCTCCCCTTCTCCGCGCGCAGGGCCGGGCCTTTCCCCCCTGCCCAGGTGACCAGAGCATCGCGCCAGGCTTTTGTCATGCAGACAAGGTGGGAGATCCCCGCCCTGAGGGATTCAACAGCAGCCTCTCAGGCTGGCACAGACAGATCTCTGGAGAGGGGCACCGACAGTGGCATTTCTGCCACAGAAGGGGCCTAGAAATCACCTTTCCCCATCCTCTGCAGACAGAAATGTTGCCTCCCAAACTACTACAGCAACAGATAAATGCCTAACACAGGGGTTGTCAACCGGGGACAGAGCACCACCGCCTCACAGGAGCAGGGCCAGGGTGGAGTGAGAGCAGGGCCATACAGACGTCATGCTGCCACTGCTCCACCGTCACCCTTCCCTGCCACCCCCCCACCAGTTCCACATCCAACTGCTCACCATTGCCCTTCCCCCCCACCTGACAGCTGGCCGTGTGCCACCCCTCCCCCCTCCCCTAGGGATACATTTATTAAAAGGGGGCTGCTGGGGGTACATTTATTTTAAAAGGTTGAAAACCCCATACCTAACATATCAATGGCCTTATATGCTTATAATGTATTTAAATACAATTTTAATCTTGGAAAGTAAAGAACTAGTTTTAGTACCTTTTGCCTTTAAAGATACTGTGAAGTAAGTGATGGTAGCAGATAAAAGCCCTTTCCCAGAGAAAATGCTTCATAATAAATAGTAGACATAAGCTTATCAGTTGAAATAAGTCCAAATGGGTGATGCAATTCTTCAAGTTCTATGTATCTATATGTTGAAAACCCCGAGTGAACAAAGCTAACCATCCTCAAGTAAAAATAGTGTCAGTCTCAAATTAATTTTAAAGCAACCACTAATCCTTGTTACTCTTAAAACTATTCAAGGCCATACTGCATGCTGTTCTAGAGCAGCACCTGGCTACTGCAATATTCTTCAAAACCTGTAACTTATATGCACGTTGTTTTATTCTTCACTGCCCGAGTAGCTCTTTTACTTTTGCAGGAAATACAAAACTGTTTCCAGTTTTTGAATCAGTGTGCTGCTCACCTGCAAAGACCATTGGTTTCGCCAATTTAAAACCAGGCAAGGGCTCCACCGGCTCCTTATGCGAATACAGCGTGTCCCCTATTTGGGCTTCTGTGACTTCTTTCATCCCAGCAATCAAATAGCCCACCTGTCCAGCATACCTAAATAAAATTGGTATTATATGGAAATTTTTACTATGCCTTAATAACATTAAAGTTTTTCTCCCCTGGCAGTTATTCCCTCCAAAATCCAAGCATGTTCTCTCCATAACTCCCAAATCAGTCTAATATTGCTGCTCAGTTGTTTGTTTACTGCAACAGACGCTTCAGGAATGAATCTTGTGACTTGGCAGTTAAATTTCAGTTACACTTAGAAATTAAATGTTCCTTTTAGTTTTTTTGGATTTCCAGCCGTATCCAATTTCCTATGTAAAGACAAGGACAAGAACACTCTTTTAACATCTAAAATAGGGAAGCCAGAAGAGATGTCAGACCCCACATGGTCAGTTTGAGATACTAGCAGAACCTGTCTCTGACAAGTAGAAATGACTCTCTGCAGTCCTTGTAAACAACCTTGTTGGTTGACGGGGATGGATCACCACCCTACCCTGTTGCTAACATGGGAATACAAGGTGTATAATTAAAAATTCAACTGCACAGTGAAAGAAGCAGTTATTTTGGCCTTCAGCTTCCATGAGAACCTCTGAGAAAAGCCAAACCAGCACTTGGCTGAAGATGTTTCAGAAATTGTTTGTCTATTTATGTTTCTATTCTGTCTACAGAATTTTCCTGACACTTGCAGAAAGGAACTGGTTCCTGATAGCACCTATAGGTGCAGACCATTAAAAAAAGATTAAGAGCTTTCCATCTCAATAGGTAGAATTGTAATAAGAGCCTGACTACAACTCTTTCCTAAGGTAGGTCCTATGGGTAAACTAGAAAATGAAGCAGAAAGACATGCCTATCAGGCAGGGCAACTGAGACTACCTGTTCAGCATGAAAGACAAACACTATGTGCCCAAATGAGACATGCCCACAGAAAATTTAGATAGAAAGGAATTGGAAAATAACATTGGAAACAAAAAAACACTAATGCACAATTTGGTAAGAACTTAAACAACAATTAAATGGTACAGACTGATAGACTGTTCATTTAGCTCTAATTGTCTTTTAAGAAAATATTTTCCTCTTTGAAGGGGAGAGAGCGCCTTTACTATGGATATCCTAAAACATCCATTTCCTTTCCTGTCTCCAGTTCAATTAGATGCCAATACAGTAAAAAAAAGTCTGTAACGTCCCTTGAACCAAACACCCTTTACTGTCATCTCATGCTTTCATCCAAACGGACTGAGATTCAAACAGCAAAATTTCCAAGGACATTCTTAATTCCTCCCAAAGGATAGCACCACATTGCATTTTACATATAAATCAGCCTTCCTGATCTTAGAAGAGTCTTTATTTCATTTTGTTCTGACAGCTTTATTAATGTTACTCTGTTTCAAAGGTTAGCTGCCTTGATGGCAGTTATATCAAATTCAGTTATAAAGTTTTTCTGAAGGAAAGAGTAAAGGCTTCACTTACTTCAAACTAAATGTTTATGAATGTACTCCTCATTAAAGGTATTAGGTAGACAGCTTTTTTAGAAAGGGGGTGAAATTTCCCAAAGGTGGCTAAGTGATTTAGGACAATAAATCACGTTGAAAGTCAATGGAGTCTTGAACTCCTATGAAACGTTGACATTTTAGAAATTCCCACCTCAAGTCTATCCTTTCAGCTAAAGAACATGAACAGCAACTACACAATTAGAACCTGGTATAATTTATCAATGTGCCTCAGTCAAGCTGAGAAAAGGCTAGATCTACAGATGAAATGGTTATTCAGTCTCCAAACTCGTTCAATCCTTTGTCTGCCTGCTGACACTGTAAAGATGGGTCCCAACAGAAAAGGTAGGAGGTTGCATATACCTGATACGTAGGGGTGCACCAATAGAGATTTTTGGGGCCGATACCGATTTTTAAGGAGGCATATTGGCCCATACCAAGCTGATTTCCGATATAGCTGCGTGCAGCTGGTAAGTCTGTTGTGGTGGAAGGGGCGGGGGGAGGAAAGGGGCATGAGGGGGGCAGATCAAGGCCCCTGCAGTGAGGAAGTGGGGTTGGGGCAAGCGCTGCCCAGCCAGGGGAGGGAAGAGAGGGGAAAGAACCACAGCTCATCTGGGGGGCATGACTCGTGCCACTGCATGCATCTTGGGAGGACATGGGGGGCATGTGCCCCCTGGATCTGCACAGGATGGAGCAGGGCAGGCTGCAGCTGTGGGCTGAGGCCAAGGCTGCACCAGGCTCTTCCCAGAAGGGGCTGGGCCGGGCACTCAGGGAGGGCAGCGGCTGCAGCCACCCCAAATTTTGCACACCCCATCCCCCCAGCGCTGCTGTTGCCCACCCTGAGGGCAGTCCCGGCCCAGCCCCCCTCCACATGCAGATCCAGGGGCACATGCCCCCCCCACCCCCCACACACACCCTCCCGGGGTGCACGCAGTAGCAGGAGCTGCACCCTCCACCCCACACTCCCTGACCAAGCTGCAGCTCCGTCCCGCACCCCGCCCTGCCCCAGCTGAGCAGCACCTGCTTGCCCCAGCCCCTGCCCCACTCCCACCCTCACCACGGGGGGTGTTGATCTGCCCCCCCCCACTCCTTCCCTCCTGCCTCCACTTCCAGCACAACAGACTTACCAGCTGTACATAGCTCTCCAAGCTCCTAGGCTGTGCTCCTTGCTGCCTGCTTGCTGTGCTGCAGCTGCACGCATGCATGGGCATTTATTGGCCAAATTATTGGCCACATCAGACCAATTTCCAATACAACCAATTTTCTTTATGTTGGTGCTGATCCAATATCAGACCCATGTATTGGTGCACCTCTACTGATATGCTAGGGGAATGCTGCATATGATATGACTTCTCGTTAAGAACTGGATTCAAAATACAAGCAGTCCTCAACTTACAACATTTTGAGTTACGTTTCACACTTATAACGTTTATAAATTGACATCCTGTTTCAACTTTATGACATCAGTTTCGAATTTACAATGCTTGATCTGATGCAACGCCACGCCAACGGACAAGTTTGCTGTCTCCCCCATCTCTCCAGAGAACATCTGTCCAAACTTTCTTGAACGCTTTTGTCGCAGGGCACCTCGGTGCCTGCTCCTAGGGAGTAGAAACTGCCAGGGAGAGAGCGCCCTGGCAGAACATAATAAGCACAGCTGCGGGTTACCAGGGCAGCTAACGTGAGTCAGCTGGCCTGTAGGAGGCAGGGCCTGGCCCTTATAAAGCCCAGGGAGGAGGCCAGGCTAGGAGTTCTCTGCCAGCAGCCAGAGGGGCAGGAGCTCCTGGAGCTAGGAGGCAAGTAATGCCAGAACTGCTCTAGCTGAGAGAAGGATGGCAGCTCTGAGAGGTTTGAGCACCATGGTTTAGCCAGGAGGCTTTATGTTTGAGTTATAGCCAGGAGGCTCGAGTTTATGTTCAGGCTTTGATATTACGCCGGTGGCAAGGGTGAGGCTATAAGGGGTTGGAGGAGGCCTCATAGGGACCCCAGAGGGGTGGGGCCCCAGCGCCTGAGTGAGGGCACAGTACTTTAAGGGGGAACCCCAGTGGTATGGGAACCCCGGTGCCGGTGAAGGCGCAGCTTGCAGTGCGGAGCGCAACCAGTGGGTTGCAGGTGGGGAACATAGACCCGGGGTTGTGTGCGGGGTACATAGACCCCAGTTACTAGAAAGCCCAGTGCGGGCGCGGTAAGCCTCTGAAGAACGGCTAGTGCTGCGGCAAACCCCGGAGCAGGGTAGAGTGCTGCGGCTGCCCCGGTGAGAGGGGGTAGCAGCGCGGTGGGCCTGAGAGTCGGGGGGCGTTGCCGGGAAGTCCCCAGAGTGGGCGCAGAGAGCCCCAGACGGGGCGGTATTTTAGAGGCCCGAGTGTGGGCGCAGGGAGAGCCCCAGGAAGGGGGCATTACTGAGAAGCCCAGCGCAGGCATAGCAGGCCCCAGGCCGGGGGCGCTATTGCGAAGGCCCCAGAGAGGGGCAACGTTACAAGGAGGCCCCGAGTGGGCTCGGAGAGCCCAAGAGAGGGCAGTATAGCAGAGGAGGCCCAGAGAGTGGGCAAGAGCATGCAGAGGAGGCCCAAGAGACGGGCAATATATATTTATAAAGAGACATACCAGTGTCTTTCCCATCAGCAAGGCTTGGGGCATGGTATTAGGGGTGGTAGGAGCCACGCGTAGCCCATAAGGCTAGGGTGCCTGGGGAGCACCCATCATACCGGGAGACCCCCAGGGGGTCCAGGAACACACGGGGACCGAGGTCCCAGCTAACCATGCCCAGGGAGTCGTAGGCAGCCTCCCAACTATACATAAACATCAAAGACGTGGCGGGTGAGAATTTGAGGGTGCCCTTGGGCCGACTTGGCACGGTGAGGGGGCAGAAGGGAGATCACGGCCCTCCTAAAGGACCCCGCCTTGACAGCTTTCTTTAAGAAAGTGGATAAGACTCCAGAAAAACCTACAGCCAAGACTCCTGAGAAGACTCCAGCCAAGAACCCTTCAAAAAATCTAGCAAAGTCACCTCAAAGAAGTCCTTCCAATACGATTGTTATTTACAATATAAATACATTAATGTAGCTATATTACTCATCTATAATTGATGGAGTACAAAATTCTGGGTTATTTTTGGTGAAAATGGGGTATTGGGCCTTGGTTCAGGAACCAATCCCACATTTATAACATTGTTCCTATGGGAAAATCAGCTCAGAGTTAAAACGTTTCGACTTAAGACTCAGTTTTCAGGAACCAGTTATGTCATAAGTCCGAGGACTGCCTGTACTGAGATCATATAATACCTCTTAGACAAAAGCTCAGAGTGGAATCTTTCAAAAGGGTCATCATCAGTCTAATCTTCAGTGATTTTGAAGTGGGTGCTTTCAAAAATCCATCACCCAGCCGTTGCCATCCAGAGCTAAAACTGGACAGATGACATGGACATGCAGGACTTTGAATCTTACCATCATAAACACTAAATTATTATATTCTACTCAAAGGTTTCTTACTTACAACTTATGAGTTGGCTGTTCATCTGGAGTCAAAATTCCCACTTCATTAACTTCGTAAGTCTTCCTTGTATGAGCAAACACAATCTTATCTCCTTTCTGAACCTGCCCACCAAAGAGTGCAATGCTAGCTATGACACCCCTGTAGTGGTCAAAGGTGGAGTCAAACACTAAGGCCTTCAGTGGATTGCTAGTGTGAGCACTGGGTCTATTATGAAAAACAGAAATAATAAATAGAGTAAGCATAACTATTTACCATTACGCACACACATACACCCCCAGACTACAAAGGCAGAGCGCAGCAAACAAACAAACACTGTGCAAAAATATAGGTCTACTATATATAGCGCACATGATATTAGGAGTCAGTTTAAGCCATTCCACAATAACATGCCAGCTGCAGTCTTTTAATATGTATTGTATACTTCATTTTTGCATATCAGCTCTATTTCACAAAAGCTGGAAATTATTTTTAAAACATTAAATTGTTTCCTCTTCTAGTATTCCCCTCACAAATAATATTCCACTGATTAAGAATCACTCAAGCAAAAAAACTTGCTGATATAGCTCTTCCATCTCCCACTGACATTATCTTTTGGGCTCTGTTTGGCTTTTGTTACTGTAGGTATTATCTAATAAGAACAGAATGAAAAACAAAGTATTGATCCAAAGTCAAACTGCAGTTTAGCAACCTTTGTCTTCATTCTGACAACGGGTAAATCCCCAGATAAAAATCTTAATTAAAACTGCAGTTCAAGCTGAAAAGGCTGTAAACATATATTGTTAACTTCAGGCCCTGGGACAAGTTGCATTAAACAATGTAATGTTCAGAAGGAAGTATGTGCACCTAAAATATATTATTAAATATAACCAAGTAACAGTTGTGTGCTCCCCCAAATCCTATTAGGATTGCTCCAACATTGATAAGAAAATATTCTGTTAAAAGGGTTTGATGTGTAAAAGGAAATTCAAATAACCACTGTTATAAAATACTGTTTCAGTCTTTATCTGCTCCCTTATTTGAGGGCTTACTCCAAACATATTATCATATAACTGCTTTATCTTCACTATTTCATATAACATTCTCATCTAATAATGGCTTTTTACTATTATTTAAAATTTAACAATTCCAACGTGTATTAATATACACATTGAAAAAAAATCATTTTTCAAGAGAAAAATTTAAAAACTGACCATTTCAATCACAAATGGATCCCGCACCTCCAATCATTAGCAACCAAAGGTCAGAAATTTAATATAAACTAGACCAAAGTTAAATTTGTGCATTTATCATTTAAGAAGAGTTAACTACCACTCCATCACTTATAAAAAAGACTAAAACTTACGGTGGTATCTTTTTGATGACATGTTGAAGCACTCTTTCTACATTTGTTCCCAGTTTAGCAGAAATCTAACAAGTTCAGGGAAAAAAATCATTTGGAACAAGTCTGGCTGAGATGCAATTCTGTTAAATAAACAATGTCATTTAAACTTAAGCAACTTTTCCTAAAATTATAATGCTTAACACCACAGGTAGAGCAGAATACGTTTAACAGTTTTTAATTCCAGACTTTGTGAAACTATTCAACAGTTATGATACAGGCAGTCCTCGGACTTACAACACAATTGGTTCCTGAAAACCGCGTCTTAAGTTGAAACGTTGCAACTTGGAACCAATGTTCTCGTAAGAAACAATATTATAAATGGGGGATTGGTTCCTGAACCAAGGCCCAATAGCCCATTTTCACCTAAATACCCCAGAATTTTGTACTCGATCAATTACAGATGAGTAATATAGCTATTGTATTTATATTGTAAATAGCAATCATATTGATTTGGAAGGACTTCTTTGAGGTGACTTTGCTGAACTTTTTGAAGGGCTCTTGGTTGGACTTTTTGAAGGGTTCTTGGCTGGAGTCTTCTCAGGAGTCTTGAGACTGCAGGTTTTTCTGGAGTCATCTGCTTTCTTAAAGAAAGCATCCAAGGAAGTTTGGACAGATATTCTCTAGGGCAGAGGTCCAACCTTTTTGAATGTGGGGCCAGATCACGAACTTTTTATCACCCAGTAGGCCGGCAAGCCATATTCAAAGACCTCACAGGAAGCAGCATCACATCACCTCCCCGAAACGAAAGTACGGTGTTTACTTTCATTTCCCGTCACAGCACCTCAGACCTCAGAAAACAGCTTGGAGGGCCACATGGCGGCCCGCGGGCCATATGTTGGACAAGCCTGCTCTAGGGAGATGAGCAACGCAGCAAACTTGTTCGCTGGTGTGGCGTCGCATCGGATCAAGCGTTGTAAAGTCAAAACTGACGTCATAAAGTTGAAACAGGGTGTCAATTTATAAATGTAAGTGCAAAACGTTGTAACTTGAAATGCTGTAAGTCGAGGACTGCCTGTATATTACAAATTTCTACAATACAGTAAAAAAACCTCAAAGAGAAAGAAAAGATATCAGGAAGAAAAAACAAGAAAGCCTGAAGGACAACATAAGAAATCTCAAATTTGTCCTTGAAGCTTCTGTTAAGCATGAAAGCTTTCTTTATACAAACTGGTAAAAATTTCTCTCTAGCACAATGCAATTATATGTTGCATGTCAAAAAGGAAAAAAAAAAGCTTAAGTGTGTATTAACTTTTTAACAGAGATCAAAGACAACTTGTATGATATCCCAACAGAATTTAAAAGTCTATTAACCAACCAGTTTTTAGAAGTCTGAAAGAGAACCTACCCTAATGCAATCATCCTCAGGGAGATCAAACAGTTTTTCAATTTGCTTCTCAACTCTTTCAGGATCTGCATTCTTCAAGTCAATCTATAAAAGAATGTTCTTTTATACATCTGAAGTGCTATTATACACACATACACTGCATGTTTGTGGTTCACCGAAAAGATAACAATCATTACATACCTGGTCATTAATACTGAATGTAAACACCAGTTACCTTTAAAAGACTATCTATATCAAGGAATTTTCTGAGTCCTTAAACAGTAAAATCTTTATAATAAAATTTCTTCTAATAATTTTTATTAAAAAAGTAACAAGTTACTGCGCAGTAGCACTAGCGAACACCTTTTTTAGTAACACTACTGAACAGTACCATATTAGCACTGTTTGTGCTGTGACACATTACTGCGCAGTATTATTAGGATACTGTGCAGTTAGCGTCTCATGTAGACACTTCCGGTATCAGGCAACCTTTTCTCCAGTACAGTAAATGATGGTAATACAACTGTTTTTCTTAGGTTGATACAATTTCATGATAAGTATGTAAGGCGCACAGCCTTATTTCCAGGATCAAATGTTAAGAAAAAACACATCTACACACTACATTTTGCTTAATTAAACAATCAATAACTAAATCTCCCACTCTACCACCTGTGGGATATGGGTTCTTTGGGGGAGGGAGCAGGGAAGGCAGTGTTTTATTTTCGGGGTTTTTCTTACTCTCAATAAAAGCCTATTTCTTGAATACTGATTAAGTAGCAGCTCTGGCACCCTTACCAATGTATCATTTTTATGAAAGATTTTTTTTTTTTTAAGTGTATGCTGGAATAAAGCAAAACTCATAGTGTAAGTTTTATGTTAGTGCAATGGTTCTCAATCTTTTGGAACTCAAGGCATCCCACCATAATTTTTCTGACCCTCAAAAACTAATTTACGTCTTACAGTGCCTACCTCTTCACGCCTCATAGCACCCTTAAAAAGGATCTTATGGCACCTCAGGGTGCTGCAGCACCTCAGTTGATAATCACTGAGCTAGTGTAACTGTTCTTCATAGCAAAGGGGATTATCCTATTTACCAGAAATAATAAAAAAGCTACAGAGAATGTTGTAACCGGCATATATCCAATACTTAAATGGATACATTTGCATCACGATATGCTAAACTGTTTTATGCATCCCATTAGAAAAAAGCACATTCCATATTATTTTTCATCTTGTTGATAGCTTCATTAGAGCAAAAAGAAAAAGCAAACATCTCATATCCACTTGTGATTTTTTGGTGTTTTCAGGTTCAAGTTCAAAGTATCAGTTAAGCTCAGAAGCGATTCAAGTTTCATGTTGCCAAGAGACCATATACAGCAGTCACAAACAGTAAATTACACAGCAATAAACTAAAAGATGAGGAAATTACATCTTGGCTTAGATCCTCCAAGTCAGAATTTGTCTTGATTAGACTTCAGGCGCATCAGAACATGTGAAAACATTCTAATGTGTTCTGAACCTCTATGTATACATGACACATTCTAGCCACTTGATGTGATAATCAGGGCCGCTTTCAGCTTCAATCTGACCAGCTAAGTGAGAAGCCAGCAAACTTTTCAAGCTGTAAGCCAAAAAACCTGGCTTCAGCTGTGCTCCAGTAGTGAGGAAGCGTTTGTCCATGCCTGTGCTAGGGCCAAGCAGCTGCACCAGCACTGCATGGCTTCTCCCAACCTCTCACCCCCTGGGCTGTAGTGCAAGTGCAGTTTCCTGCCAGAGGGGAGCTGTGCTGAGGCCAGACAGCTGAAAAATGAGCCCATGCTGCTGCTGCCTCTTCTCCCCAGCCCCAGCAGTTTCCAGCTGCAGTGGAAGTGCAAATCCCAGCCAGTAGGAAACTACACTGGAGCTGGGAAGCTACATCCACACTGCTACCGCTTCCCCTCATCCCCTCCATGATCCCTGCCGCAGGGCACTAAGGTATGTCTGCTCCTTTAAGGGCAGGAACTGCCTGGCTAGAGAACCCAAGGAGCTAGACAGAGCTCCACAGCTGCAGGCTTCCACGGCAGCAGGCTAATGGAGGAATCACCCTGCACCTGCATCCGGTCATCTGACTACGAGGAGTTATGTCCCTGGGCACATATAAGCCCCAGGGCTGAGGCCAGCAGGGGTTAATTCTCCAGCAAGCTGCCTGGGGAAGGAGCTCCTGCAGGGAAGAACTACCCAGGAACACTGTGGCTGCTGTATAGACTGTTGGCATGGCTAATGAGGCTCCAGGAGTCTACAAGGTACCCAGGGCTGGGAGACACTCAATACTCAAGGAGCAGCTTGGGGTTTTAAAGAGACAAGAGTGTGGCTTGCTTTAGTCATATACTCATATTCTGTTATAGCCTAGGGGCTTATATTGCTGTTGTTGTTTTTATCCTGGTGGACCGGGATGAGCCTATTGGGGAGGAGGAGGCCTCACAGGGGGTACAGTATAGTGCAGAGCCCAGCACCAGAGAGGGTGCAGAGACAGGGGCCAAGGGCCCAGTGATGACAAGAGGCCGAGTTAGACTGAGGCCTCGTAAAAATAGGGACAATGTTTAACACCACCTGTGAGGCAAGGAGCGTGGTAAAAGGGAGGTGTTGGAGCCACACATCTAGCCCATAAGGCTTAGGGTGTCCTCTGAGGCACCTACTTAGCGTGGGACCCAGCAAGCAGTCAGAGAACCTGTGGGGTTTTAGTGGGGTCCATTAGGACTGTGACTGAGCAGAAACTTGAGGGCAGCCTCCCTATTTTATTATCTATTCCAACAAGACACGACAGGTGAGAGGAGCAGGCGCTTGCAAGGAAAAGCTTGTACAGGCCCCTAGGGACATCGTGGCCACTTCTAGGGACCCCACAGCATGACATGCCCCCCACTCCCCAGCAACCTCCCAGCTGCAACTGGAAGCTTCTCTGCTGGCTAGAAGCTGCGCTTGCACTGCAACCGGAAAGAAGGGGGCAAGGTAACATCACAGTGATGCAGGTACAGCTTCTAGCTATCTTAGCATGGTTCCTCACTGCCCAGCCCCAGCATAGGCAGAGACGAAGCCTTTCAGCTCCATGGGCCACATCCAGCTCACAGACCATATGCTGCTGACCCCTGAGCTAAGTAACACTACAGCTTTTATCCTAATCGAGACAAACCTTTGCTTTTATTGCTACAGGATTTCTTAGTTTATTACATAGATCCACTTACCTACCTTGCTGTTTTGAGGAAACACTGTTTACAATGCTGGCACCTTGCACAACTACTAAAAATTCACTGCAAATTATTTTAACATTAAACAGAGGCCAGCTATTTGCAACAACTTGTGTTCCAAGATGCTAATCTAAAAAATAAAAGTAAATTTGCATCCATTTTTAGCACATTTTACTATGCCAGAGATGACCAACCTGCAGCATGGAAACTACAATTGGTACAGGCAGCCTCTGTATGTGGCATGCAATAGACTGGGAAGGCACAGGCAACACAATAACACAGGTCAGGGAGCAGAAAGCAGAACATTAGATCCAGAAGGGAGCACAGGCTAGAAAGCAGAGCAGATCAGGTGAGGGAAAGGGATCAGAATGGCACATGAGACAGAGCAAGGGGGCAGGGCAAATTTGCAGTACACCTGCCAAAAAGGTTGGCCCTCCGTGTATTTTGTAAGATACTCATTTTATTTCACAATATTTATAGTTATACAAAATTATCAGTGTTACATACATAAAAGCCCAATATCTCAATACCTTGTTTATAACAGGAATTATTGCCAGCTGTGCTTCAAAAGCAAGATAGAAGTTGGCCACTGTTTGTGCTTGAACACCCTGGAAAACATCAGTAAAAACCTGTATTCAATATTACTATTCTTTGTTTGGGTTATAACCAAGCACACCACATAAATCCACATTCTTACCAAACAAATTCCTTTCTTGGGAATAGGCAATATTCAATTTAACTGATCTTCAGTGATCTATAATGAGTAATGACATAAGAATACAAAAAGAAAGCAAAGGCTGACCCACAACTTCTTAAACTGTTCATTAATATTTATATTATAGATTTTTCAGGATACCCAAGGTATATTTTAGCTACTAGTGTTGTATTATGTTATGTAAGTAATCAAAAATCAGAATATGCCTAGTCCTTGCCTGCATACATTTATACCCTAGGGTGGACCAAAGGGAGTATGACAGAGACAAAAATAATAATAACAAAAAAAAAATCACTGTTGTACAACCTAAATGTCTCCATATTCCCATACAATTATTTTGAAAAAAATATTAAAATAACTGTTTTTTTTTCCCCCCAATTCCCTTGTATAAGAGGGCTAGTGGAAAGGAGTTTTAGGGCAACAAGAATGATTTGGCTTCTGATGAGGGGCAACATGTCAGAAAGCAGGGAGGTCTTTTTTGAATGGAGATATAGCCATCCATATACAGATTTCAATGGGGAGACAGAAGGTAGGATTAAGTACAATGGGACATGACTGCATAAATCCTACCCCCTCTATGCCCATCCAAGGCAAGAAATGATTGGGCATGGACACTCAATACAGTTAGCTAAGAAATCTTATGGATCCAAATATTAGGGAGAAATGACTGTATTTGGCCCAACCTACTGCTAAAGAGCAGTTGATGACCCAGAACACAGGCCTGAGAGATGGAACTATTAATGACAGTAGTGTACAATGCTGATAAGGGAAAGGGTTTCAGATACTATGACTGACAATTAATACCAAGTCTCTATCTTTAATATAATCTAATATAAAAACAAGAGCATATTTGAAAGAAATACTAAACAGCAAAGTTCATGAAAAGAACTAATGTACGTTCCTGCTAATACAGGAAAAGAAATAAAAGTGCTCAGGTAAGAGATGGGTTGTGACACATTTTTCTAAAGAACTGGGTCAATGGAGAAATCTCACACTGAAATAAACACAAAACTCAGAGAAGAAGCACATAACATGAATGAATGAACACCAACATACCAATATTCTATTTGCACTCTGTGTGTGTGTGTGTGTGTGTGTGTGTGTGTGTGTGTGTGTGTGTGTGTGTGTGTGTAAAATAAAAATAAAAGAATAAAGGAAAACAAAATATAAAATGGAATCCAATTAATGATTTATAAAGAAGTAATAAGTAATAGATGTTACAAGCATGTTACAGAACTCAGGACAAGTTCTGGATAGTTATATTTCACATAAGAGACTACCAACCTGACCCCTTGAACTCTTAACAAATCAATACCCCCTGCAAGCAGCTAAGAGTTGAAAAGCACTCGGAACCCTCAAAAAGATGGGTTTGTCCCTTTGTACGAAGCAGGAGTCTCATCCTGCAGTATTACTGGCTAAACTTTTGTTTTGTTTTGTTTCATGGGACAACATGCATCATCGCAAACATACTTCCTAAATCAGTTTCTTATTCTGAGCTGGTAATATCATTTTTTCTGAACTACAGCCCAAAAGGAAATAAGCCAATTGAAAAAATGGAAGTTGATCCATTTTCCTTGTCTATGAAACTTAGGTGGCATTAGCTACTGAGGTACCATAAGAAAACAAAAATTGGAACTACCTCATTTGCATCTACTACAAGTATGACACCTTGACAGGCAGACAGAGACCGTGACACTTCATAGTTAAAATCGACATGACCCTGTAAAAAAAACAAAAACAAAGAGTGTCTTTGAAAATGTAGCATGTGGTTTAATTTGCTCTATTTTAAAGGTTGCTAGCAACTTAACAGAAAAAAAAATTCTCACGATAATTCTACAAATTAAAAGCACTAAACAATGCAATAAACTTGCCTTAAAACTATTTTACTATTTTAACATAGGGACATTTTGCTTTATGCAATTTTAAAGATGCTTATATTTTACTTACTGGTGTATCAATGAGATTTAAGAGGTAATTTATTCCTTCATAACTGTAGAAGAGAGATGCAGTCTGTGCTTTAACTGTGATCCCTCTTTCTCGTTCCACTTGCAACTTATCCAGCACTTGTTTATTATGCTCGGTTTTAGTAATTGTTCCTAAGAATCAATGTTTTAATAACTGAATTAGCACCTTATTTTACATAAGTTTAAGTTTCTGTTGCATCAAAATACACGGAGTTTCAATTTAATTTCTACTACAGAATTTTATATAATCTTAAAATGTAAATTATAAAGCAAAATGGTAGTTTTCGCGATAAACAAAATATGCTAAACCCACTGGCCCAAAGCAGATGGCGCACATTCCTTCACAAAAGGCTCTTCTCCATCAGTTAAGCTTTTTATGTACAAATTATGTTTCAGATTTTTATGGTTGCAAAATAGTCTTAGGTGCAAAGTAACACAGTATTTTCTTCCTGAGTTTAAAGACAATTTAGAGCCTTAACATCAACATCATTAGGCAAACCCAGAGCAAGTTGTAAATTGGAAAGTTCCTCTGGAATTTAAGGAATCGTTCCACTTTTACTCCAGAGCTCACTGATTTTTTTTTTTTTTTTTCAACCAGGGTACATGATACTCTGAAGAATGCTGTAAGGTGTCACTCAGTATTAGAACTTCACACACATACACAACTCACAGGGTAAACCCAGAAATTTCACATAGAAACCGATATAGTCAATAACTTTCTGACCCCATGTGCTCTACTTGATAGAGGCGCATCAATACATTGGTCCATATCATATCAGCACTGATAAAAGGAAAATTAAATTTTATCAGCAATCAGCTTTTTTTGGCTGATGTGGCCAATAATTCTAATATAATAAAGGACTTAGTCTGTCTATCTGTCTGCATGTCTGTAACACTTTTGGCCAACTGCGCATGCGCCACAGAGGCAGCCTGGGCTGCGTGGACCCAAGTTTGAGCCACTGCCGGGGAAGTTCGTGGCAATGGTGAACACGCCCCGGCCGCCTGAGCAGTGCCTCCTTGCCTGAGGTCAAAACTGGGGGAGGGTCCCTGACCTGAGCATAGCTGTTGGGAAGAGGTTAGAGCAGCTCTGGCCCTAAGCATGCAGTGGGCAGCCCACCCTTGCCCCATACACACATGGGTCCCATGCCTCCCTGCCCAAGGGAGGGAGGAGGCATGGGGACCTCCCATGAAGGGGCGGAGGGGGGAGAGGGGGGTCATGGTGGCGGCTGTTGTCAGGGCTGGGCAGCAGGGAGGGAGGGAGGGAGGCAAGTGGGAAGGGGACCCTAACAACAGCTGGCAGGGAGGGGGAAGCAGCGGGGAGGAAGGGAGGCTGCACAGGACAGAGTGGGGGGAGGCAAAGGGGCAGGGGCCATGGTGGCAGCTGTTGTCGGTTCTGGGCATCAGGGAAGGAAGGAAGAGAGGGAAGCGGGGAGGGGAGAGTCACTGTGGCGGTGCCCTCCCACCACCCGGCCCTGACAACAGCCAGCAGGAAGGGGGAGGCACCAGAGAGGGAGGTAAGCAGGGGGAAGCTCAGCTGGGACGTGGAGGCGGGCAGGGAAAGGGAGCCCCTGTGCTGGAGGAGGTAGTGGCAGCAGCGGCGGAAGGTGTCTTCATACGGCTGGCCCCGAAGGGTAACCAGGGGGTGAGGGGAGGCCATGTAAACACTTCCTGATATCCATCATTCTTAACAGGCAATTAGCTAGTGTTGCCTATAAATGCCACGTGCATGTGATTAGCCACAGCATGTATGTGGCCAGGAATGCAGCCTGGCAGCTTGGAGAACAGCATCTGGCTAGTAAGTCTGTTGGGGAAAAGGGCATGGGGGAGGAAAGGGGCGTGGGAGCGGGGGGCGCCAAGGTGAGGGAGGGAGTGGGGTTAGGGGAGGGGCAGAGGCACGGGCAAGTGTTGCCCAGCTGGAGTGGAGCAGGGTGTGGGACGGAGTTGGCAGCTCACCCAGGGCACAGCGAGGGGTGGCTCCCACCACTGAATGCAGCCCTGGAGGAGGCATGGGGGGCATGTGCACCCAAATCTGTGCATGGGACAATGGTGGGCTGCCCACTGCATGCTCAGGACCAGAGTTGCTCTAGCCTCTTCCCAGCAGCTGTGCTCAGGTCAGGTGGTGCACGTGGTGGCAGCACTAGGAGGGGTGCTGCAAGGGGGCTACAGCCACCCCAAAATTTGACCATAGCCCCTCCTCCCATCACCACCTGCCCTGCTCTGCCCTGCCCAGCCAAAGCATAGCCGCCAGGAAGAACGTAGAGCAACCCTGGCTCCAGCACTCCTAAAAAGACATGGAGAATCTTGAAAGGGTCCAGAGAAGGGCCACAAAAATGATTAAGGGCCAGGAGGACAAACCTTATAAGGAAAGACTAAGGGATCTGAGACTGTTCAGCCTGGGGAAGAGAAGACTGAGGGAGGACTTGGTGGCCATCTATAAATATGTAAGGGGAGAATATTTGGAGCTGGGGAAAAAAACTGTTCATTAAGGCACCCCAGGGGATGACAAAGAGCAAGGGCCATTAACAGTTAGAGGATGGTTTCAGGTTGGATGCAAGGAAGAACTTCTTTAAGGTAAGGGTGACCAGAATCTGGAATAGACTTTCCAAGGAGGTGGTGCAGTCCCCAACCTTGGAAGTCTTCAAGAAGAGACTGGACAGACACCATTCTGGGATCATTTGATCTCAGCAGTGATCGGGAGGCTGGACTCAATGATCTTTTGAGGTCCCTTCCATCCCTTAATTTTATATGATTTTATGATACTATAGTCTTTGAGTTCTTTGCAACAGAAGAACTGTTCTATTGGTTTTCCATAGTCAAGTGAAACAAAGAGCTGCTATTTTCTGAGGGATGCCTTGAGTCTGCCAAGGGACATCTTGAGTCAAATGAGAACTGTCTCAAGTCACAGACACCTGAGAACAACTGCCACAGCTACTATCAATTCCAACCTCATACGATAAAAAATGGACCAGTAATTAGAGCACGAGGCCTTGGGAGACCAGAGTGCAATTCCCTGCTCCACCACAAATGTTTTCTATGACCCCAAATGATTCATATGGACAAGTCTCTCTGTCCTCCATTCCCTATATGCAAAAGAAATAATAGTGCTTCATTCTGTCACACATTAATCATAGTGAGGTACTCAAAATGGTACCCTATAAGTACATTAGGTTAGTGTGTCTACAATCTACAACCTCATCTATTTTGTATGCAAAATTTCAGAAATCTGTACAGCAGCAGAGAACCCACACAATTCTTAATATGTGCACTGCAGAGCCACATCAACATATGGTTAAATATTCCCAGAACAGACTCCACAAATCCTGACACTCGCACTCTCTATTATATCCATACTGGTCTCACCTACCACAGAAACCTCCAACTTTAAAACATTCATGATTTTCTCCTAAATTATTACCTACTTTTCATTCTTTTAAACAAGACTAGCTCTCAAGTTCCAACATGTTTTACTTTTACTCCCCAAAATCACTTTATCTGAAATTTCCAGATTCCAAGTTTCCTTCCACCCTTCCCAAACTTTCTATGCACTTATGCCCTTGCAAATCTTCTGAGTACTTGTCGCAGGGCACCTCAGTGCCTGCTTCTGGGGAGTAGAAACTGCCAGGGAGAGAGAGCCCTGGCAGGACTTAACGAGCACAGCTGCAGGTTGTCAGGACAACTAAGGAGAGCCAGCTGTCTGTAGGAGGCAGGGCCTGGCCCTCATAAAGCCCAGGGCTGAGGCCAGGCTGGTAGTTCCCTGCCAGCAGCCAGAGGGGCAGGAGCTCGAAGGTGAGCAATGCAGGAACCGC